CTTTGTTTTCCTTTCCTTTCTCTCTTAATTTACCTCGCTCTCAACCTCTTCTGTCTGTAAGTTTTGATCTCTCTCTTCTGGCACTGCTATCACACTTGATATTCCTGTCAAGATCCATAAAGCTCCAAATAATTATATGTTCCCTCTTTCACATCCTTTCTCTCTTTCTCTTTCCGAGACTCTCTCTCTCTCTCTCTCTCTCTCTATCTCTCTCTACTTCTCAGTTCATTCTGTAAATCTCCTTTGTATTCTCTTTTTTCTTTATCCTTCTACCTTTCAGTCCCATTCTCTCATATCAGGGATACCAATTGCAATTAATCAGTTGGTTTCATCAATTGATAACAAAAAAGGAGACTCTCACGTATATTTTCAGAATACCATAAATCAGCTGTACAATATATGAAGCCTGAAAGAGACTGAAATTGAGAGCTATCAAGGCCTGAAAATGATAAATAATAATATTCGGTTCTTGTATAGCGCATATCATAAACATACATACATACACATGTAGAAGTGTCGTAGTCGAGTGGTTTAAGCACTTGAATTGAAATGCAAAGGTCATGGGTTCAATCCCAGGCACGGCAGTCCTTTGGCAAGGTACTAATCTACATTTACCACCCCATACCCAGGAGAGAAATGGGGACCTAGAAGGACGGTGAAAGCCTTTGTGCTAGTAGTTGCCTATGCCCTCACTGCTTACATCTGGCCCCTCTCCCTCTCTCGGTCTTGTCACCTACAAACCAATCCCCTTTCTTCCCCTCTCCTATGTTTTCTGTCTGGGTAATAATAGTAAAGCGCTTAGAATCAAGAAATGTTACTATCATTATTTCAGTTATTGTTATCTGTCGTATTATTGTATAAAACTATTTGACATGCATGTACCTCCTTTACTAGCAATAAACACAAAAAAGCTGCGTACTCATTTCATTGTATCCATACACCAAGATTTTATTTTCTTTTTACTTTGACATCAATATTTCATACAAAAATAAAAACAAAACATAAATCATATACCCAAGTAATGGTTTTCACAAAGTGAAATATAGTCTACATTGTTTGTACATTACCTGCTATCTTACTTTTACAGTGATTGATGACCTTACATGAAATATCATTACGATTTGGAAGATTATTATTGGTTGAAAACCAGAAAGGTGCAACTCTCTGTTCAAATAAACGATCTAACCTCCCTCTGGCTCTATGCATACAATACATAACATTTATAAGATATATATATATATATATATATATATATATATCACCAAAATGGTATAAGTATTTTGAAAGAGGTGTTTTGATTTGACAAACATATACAGCATAATATATACTTTTCTTAATATAATGTCTAAAAACGTAAGTACATGCATACAAATATGAACAATCCCCATAGGAAAGAAATGAGCCTGCCGCATACTCCTGCGGCAGACTTGCCGCAGATCTGCAGCAGACCTGCCGCAGACAGTCATCTTTTTCACATGCTAATTAGTTTTGCCGCAGACTTGCCGCAGACTTGCCGCATACTCTTTCAGTATGATGAAGAGTCTGCGGCAGGTCTGCCGCAGACTTGCTGCAGACTTGCCGCATACTCTTTCAGTATGATGAAGAGACTGCGGCAGGTCTGCCGCAGACTTGCTGCAGACCTGCCGCATACTCTTTCAGTATGATGAAGAGTCTGCGGCAGGTCTGCCGCAGACTTGCTGCAGACCTGCCGCAGATTCTTCGTCATGAATATTCATATCTCATATAGACCTGCTGCAGACCTGCCGCATACTCTTTCATATCCAGTACGTGGCAATAAAGTATGCATGTAGAAGAACCAGTGATAAACTGATTGATACTTCATAATCGATATTGGCAATATCGATATTACCAATTAGGTAATACCAATATATATCTATATTACCAATTAGGTATATTCTATTCTCAATTGTATTAACTTCATCACATTAATCATTTGAAGTGTATTCAAGAGTAACATTTAAAGTGACACAGGCTCGTACACATATATATACTAAATATGTATATTGTTTCTTGGTTAGTAATCATAGTTTCTTGGTTAGCAATCAATATATCTATTGCTTAAACGTGAATGTAATTGTAACATGATCAGACACAATAATCTATTGGTTAATAATGGCAAAAGGAAAATAGAAATCACAAAAATGATGTGCATTGTCTTAATTTGCTTAACAAATCATGATAAATGTATTTTTCTGTCACACGTGTAAAGTAATAATGAATATGCATGAGATGATTGGTTTCAATTGGCCCTGTTAGACTTTAATGGGATTTCCTGTGGCAGACCTGCCGCAGACTGTTCCTGTGGCGTACTGGTATGCGGCAAGTCTGGAGCAAAGTTTCGTCCTGCCGCAGATCTGCCGCAGACTGTTCCTGTGGCATACTAGTATGCGGCAAGTCTGGAGCAAAGTGTATTCAAGAGTAACATTTAAAGTGACACAGGCTCGTACACATATATATACTAAATATGTATATTGTTTCTTGGTTAGTAATCATAGTTTCTTGGTTAGCAATCAATATATCTATTGCTTAAACGTGAATGTAATTGTAACATGATCAGACACAATAATCTATTGGTTAATAATGGCAAAAGGAAAATAGAAATCACAAAAATGATGTGCATTGTCTTAATTTGCTTAACAAATCATGATAAATGTATTTTTCTGTCACACGTGTAAAGTAATAATGAATATGCATGAGATGATTGGTTTCAATTGGCCCTGTTAGACTTTAATGGGATTTCCTGTGGCAGACCTGCCGCAGACTGTTCCTGTGGCGTACTGGTATGCGGCAAGTCTGGAGCAAAGTTTCGTCCTGCCGCAGATCTGCCGCAGACTGTTCCTGTGGCATACTAGTATGCGGCAAGTCTGGAGCAAAGTTTCATCCTGCCGCAGATCTGCCGCAGACTGTTCCTGTGGCATACTAGTATGCGGCAAGTCTGCAGCAAAATTTCATCCTGCCGCAGATCTGCCGCAGACTGTTCCTGTGGCATACTAGTATGCAGCAAGTCTGGAGCAAAGTTTCATCCTGCCGCAGATCTGCTGCAGACTGTTCCTGTGGCATACTAGTATGCGGCAAGTCTGCAGCAAAATTTCATCCTGCCGCAGATCTGCCGCAGACTGTTCCTGTGGCATACTAGTATGCGGCAAGTCTGGAGCAAAGTTTTATCCTGCCGCAGATCTGCCGCAGACTGTTCCTGTGGCATACTAGTATGCGGCAAGTCTGCAGCAAAATTTCTTTCTGCCGCATACTTCGGCATACTCTTTGCCGCAGACTAAATGTCTGCGGCAGGTCTGCGGCAGGTCTGCGGCATACTTTTCACTTTCCTATGGGTCATGTCGAAAGTCAAAACCATTTGATACCCAACAACATAAATGAATTCTACAAATGATATTTTAATACACCTGCATACTAATGATAAAACATAAAAGGTGGTGTTACAAACTAAGGATAGATTCATTAAAAGGTATGACAAAATAACATCAACCATTTGATACCCATACACATAAATGAATGTTGTTAAACTCTTACAATACAAATACAAGTACATTTAGGATGACTTTTATAAACCATCTCCTCTTACAAATTTAATACAAATTTTATATGACAAAATGATGTGCTTCCTATCAGCTAGGTGTATTCTTATCATTATTGCAGAAAAATCCATGAATAAATTGTATTTCAAAGCCGAGAAGAAACATGATATCTTTGATTAAGGATTAAAGAAAACATGATAAAATATAACGATAAAAAGTAGCCTAAAAGCTCCATTGCAGCGCAGCTGAATATACTTTCCATTAAAGCGCAGCGGAATATATTTGTATAAAAGCTGCACTATATGAATTTATTATTATCATTATTAGATCATATCTCTCGTTAATCGAGAACACATCAAATTATTTCAAGGACTCCTTGCAAACAAAACTAAACTAAAAACAAATAGTAACAACGAACCTCCCCCGACGGCATTTTCAAAGACCACTAAATAAGTCTTCATCTTCTGCAAGCCAGTTCCTATACCAACAAGTCATATCTTCATCTATTGAGCATGCTCATACGATCAGCAATATTTTACTGCTATCATCAGCTAGTTCATAATTCCAACATTTAGTACCTTCTTTAACATTTCGAGTACTTTCTTGATTTACACCTTATCTTAAAGGTAATACAAAATTTTGATAATATTTCAACAGGAGTGGATTATGAAATTTAAAATTGGCATTACCATTGTAAAACCTAGTGTTAGAATAAGCAACTTTAAAAAAATTGGGATAAAAAACACTGAGGATTTCAAGAAATTTAAATATCAAATTCATTGGTGCTCCTGATAAAATTCAAATAGTGACTACAGCTATACAATGGTAGCTGCGACCATGAAAATCTCTGAATATTTTTATTTTTCAAACAGGAATAGAAAATTGGCCGGTTTTATTCAAGAAAAATTGTTTTGAAGCTAAAGTAATATCAATCTTGAGAGGGAGCTATACAACAAAGAGAGTAATTATTCACAATTTCATCACTTTAGACTTGATTTCAACCACGACAACGATCATTAAATGTTGTAGGATTGCTTATGCTTCCAATATCATTTGAACCAAATTCATGACCCCATACCAAAACTTTGTATCACCTTTAACTCAGTACATGTCTTAATTCAATACTCTTCATTCTTAACTCATACAGTTTAGCAGTAGCGTACACAGGATTTTTTCAAGGGGGGGGGGGGGGGGGGGGGGAGGAGGGGAGGTAAGAGGACACCTTTTTTTTATTGGGGGGGGGGGGGGGGTCTCAAAATTTGAAAATTTGACATTTTGTTCTGTTGGGGGGGGGGTAAGGTCACCTTTTTTACGTCAGCCATTGGAATAATTTTTTTTTTTTTTTTTAAATAAAAAAAAACAACACAAAGGGGGGTGTTTTGCTCAAAAATACACACATACACACAACTGAAGGGGGGCGCTAACCCCCATCCCCCCCCCTGCGTACGCGCCTGCAGTTTAGTACCCTGTAATATCCACACTTTTTCTACAAGAAAATATAATGTACACATTTTATTAGCCTATGGTGAAACTGCCAATAAAGTAATCAATATTTTATTTTTGACATTTAGTGTCTACTCTTTGTTAAAACACCGGAATACTAAAGTACTTTCTTTCATATCTAAAATTTAAAAAAATGAAGCAAAACCTACGGTAAATTAAGGAGCTGGAATTTATGGGCATTCGTATTCAGTCGATTGAGAGCAACTGAGACTTAGGTCGCAGGTCTCAGAACCTGAATCGCAAGCCACACAGACTGAAGAATCCCCAGTGCATTCTGAAGAAAAAAGATAAAAAGAATATAAATAGAATTGACATCTTCTTCTAGGCTTGGGACCAAACAGCATAGTCTGATGTCAACAAGGACGCCTGGACGCCTGAATCAACAAGCTAACATAAGCTTCCTACAGGTACTCTCTTTTCCTTCTACTCATTTTCACAGTTTGTTTAAATTAATTTAACATAATGCTCATGATTTGTATATCGTAAACGGTTTGTACTTCATCACATGTATATATTTGTTCGCTTTTTAACGGAAATAAAGTCTTTTGAATTGAAAAAAAAAAAAAAAATGTACTACTGACACTTCAGAATATAATTTAAAAAACAAACAAACAAATAATGCAATATTCTAATCTTCATGGGATATAAGAACTGTTTGTTCATAGACTGAAAAAACCCTGTTATCCACTGCTTTCCAAACTTAATACAATTGTGCAACATTAATCCATTGACTACAGCATTGCCAATATCCCATAGGCTGAACACATGAGACCACTGGTTCCGGTAGGCAAAGGGCTTAGGAAGGTTGCATTCACTCAGGTTTAACCATTTAAGCAAATATGTGATCAGGGGGTGTTTAAAAAAAGCCTCTTTTCAATGACAAATTACAAAAATCAGCGACAAATCTGCTGATAACCAATCAGAAGCAAGGATTTCACTAGCTTATCATACTGCATTGTCAAATCCCATAGGCTGAATACCTGATACCACTGGATCCGGTAGGAAAAGGGCTTAGGAAGGTTGCATTCACTCAGGTTTAACCATTTAAGCAAATATGTGATCAGGGGGTGTTTAAAAAAAGCCTCTTTTCAATGACAAATGACAAAAATCAGTGACAAATCTGCTGATAACCAATCAGAAGCAAGGATTTCACTAGCTTATCATACTGCATTGTCAAATCCCATAGGCTGAATACCTGATACCACTGGATCTGGTAGGAAAAGGGCTTAGGAAGGTTGCATTCACTCAGGTTTAACCATTTAAGCAAATATGTGATCAGGGGGTGTTTGAAAAAAGCCTCTTTTCAATGACAAATGACAAAAATCAGTGACAAATCTGCTGATAACCAATCAGAAGCAAGGATTTCGCTAGCTTATCATACTGCATTGTCAAATCCCATAGGCTGAATACCTGATACCACTGGATCCGGTAGGAAAAGGGCTTAGGAAGGTTGCATTCACTCAGGTTTAACCATTTAAGCAAATATGTGATCAGGGGGTGTTTAAAAAAAAGCCTCTTTTCAATGACAAATGACAAAAATCAGTGACAAATCTGCTGATCACCAATCAGAATCAAGGATTTTACTAGCTTATCATAACAAAAACTGTCATTTGTCTGCACTGATGGCAAGTTTTGTGAAACACCCCCAGGCACCAAAACACAATCAGAAATTCGCCAGAAATGATGTCTTAGTTTAGGTGTGATTCTAAAAGATGAGACATATAGAAAAGGAAAGGATACAACAATTCGTTTGAAATATATTGAGGGTTCAGTGACACAAAGACGTAACTCTATATTTTGCCAAAATGAGTATTTGATATCAAAAGGTTCAAAAGAGTGTGGGCTTCCCAGGAAACACAAAGACTGAACTCCATCCAACACCCCATTGAAGTCAATGGCTGGTGAAACATAGACTTAACTCCTATGACTTAGGCCCATGTGCTCAGTGACACAACCACTTTTTCTCAAAATGGCCAAAATGAATTTACGTCTTTGTGTCACTGACCCCACGATACAAGAAAGAAAATGTTCTTACCAGGAGCTGGGACTGCTCTGACTGAGAAACTGAGCGTGACAGGAGCCGACTCTGTCAGTGGAACATCCACTGACACAAAGGCTTCATGGCTCAGTACAAAGAAGTCATGCCTTGTGAACATGGTGGTAGAGCCCAAGCGAGAGTAGCTGGCAGTGCTTGAGCCGAGGAAGTCTGTTCCTTCGCCAAAGACCGCTTTAGAATCATCGGGAAGGTTGTAGGAGGAAGATACGTCAAAGAACAGGACGTAGGAGCTGTTAAGGGCAAAGAAATGCCACAGAGCTGCTTTGATATTGTCCCCCACCGGCTGAAGCTCTATCGTATTAACGTCATACGATTCACCAGCGACCACCCATACCTCAGCTGAGCAAAAATATAAAGTTACAAGACGGATTAATCTTTTGTATGATTATCATTAATTTATCATCAATTTGGTAACATGTACACCAAGATAAAACAATAATTCAAATATTCATAGGAAAGAGAGAAATAATTTATTGAAAACATTAATAACCATGACCCGCAGGTCTTCCTCCCTGACCAAGCTAACAAAACCAGGGTAGAAAAAATTGATTTATAAATATATGTACAAATGAAATAAGACCATGAAACATAATTCCATAACATAAAACTAAAATTGAGAAATATGAAAGTAAAGATATGCCAAGCAGTAATGAAAGCTGGTATTTCTGGGGCCGGTTTCTATGGAATACTTGTACAGTGTTCTATCAATGTGTTATCGAATGGAATCTAGAGAAATCCAAAATATTTGGTATAGCGTCTTTTGATTGCAGTTAAAAATTGCTTCACTTTTATTTTTTCTGTGTTTAAAAAAAATAAAAAAATTCTTGTCATCCCTGTATAAGGATGCTTAACTAATGATTACAACTCAAAACACATGAACCAAAGTGCATATAAACATCAGACAATCCATGCTTTATTCTTATATGCTCTATTATGATACAAAAATAATTATATGATCACGTCAAATGAAAGGATATAACAATATTGCCCCAAATTACATGAGTATTTTTATTTCATTAATACAACAACAAAAAATGGAAAAAGACGCCCAATTGTCACTTGGGTGGAGAAAAGCAAGGTAGTAAAATAAGAACTATGATTCACAAATATCGAACAACGTGCCTTTGGCAGTCCCGGCCGGACAAATCTTTTTTTAAATGAAAGGAGCATAAAGGCTACAAAAAACAAGTTGTATACAGAAACTAATTTTGAACAAAATTGCCAGCCATTATTGAGGGCACATGATAAACCGCCCAATTATAGATTTTTCAAAAGATTTTCAAAACAACATTTAGGCTATATCATGACCCTAATTCTCTATCAATTTTTTGTTCAAATCGATACTCAAACACTAGTGAGGAATTTTGCTAAACGATGTGTTTTATGACGTTCAGAACAGGAAAAATCGAATAGCTATACGAGAATCGTATAAATGTTTGGAAAAGTGAAAGAAGCTTACTTGAGATGTCATCATAGCCACAGCTCATCTCATCTTCAGCAAAGGTGCATTCTGGGGCCAGGTTGCAAACAGACTCAGACCCGATGCATTCACCGCCTCGATTACAATGGAATTCATTCAATTCACAACTAGCTACAAACAAGAAGAAACATTGATTGTAAGAAAACATCAATTATATAGTAACATTCATCATAGGAGAATATATCTGATATGATAATAATAATAAAACAGTGCTTATACAGGAAAACACCAATTATGAAAAAAATACCCATTGCTAAAAAACAAAACCTGTTATAGAAAAACGCACTTCATTAGTATACATATGACATATGATTATAAGGACACTCTCATTACAGGTACCCATTATAAGGACACTCTCACTACAGGTACCCATGTATGTTTTTATTTCAGAGCTACGAAGTTCTGATGAAATTTCCTCTCTCTGTAAAAATATACACCTTCATAAACCATATCCAAACGTTTGTTACACACATACTACCCATTTTGATTGAAAAACTGTGATTTGGGATCTATCAATGTGTTGCCAGTTTAAGAATTTGAAAGTTTGTCTATACAAAAACAAAAAATGGTATCAAATGTAATATGGGCATTTAACAGTTAACAGATAAGTATTGCAACCTTCAACATAAGAGTGCACATTGCAGCCTTGAAAATAAGAGAGTTCCAAAACTAACAATAAAGCAAGCTTTTAAAAAGGAGTGAAGCAACATTCAATCTAAGCATGTTGCCATCTTTAAATATGGAGTGTTGCAACATCAAAACAAGAGAGTTGCAACATTCAGAATAAGTGGGCTATGACCTTCTACATAGTAGTGTTGCCACATTGAGCAAATGAGTGATGCAACATTCAATTTACATAATAGTACTGTGATATTAAAGAACTTTAATCTTACTTGGGCAGTTTAATTCATCCTCTCCGTTAGAGCAGTCATAGTCACCATCGCAAACCCATTGTGGATCCAAAATGCATTCAAAGTCAGACTCACATTCAAAGCAGGAGTAGTTTCCTGGTGGGGTTGCTGGAATAAAGTTTTAAAAAAAGATCACATATAATACAGTTTAGTTAATGCCAGTTTAACTAAAAGTCACCAGTGCATGCTTGAAAGAAATAAGAGTACATACATGTCGCAATAAATTACAATTGTTTTGGTAGTTGATATACAAAAAACCTGATTTTTTAAATTTTGCTGCATTTTACGTTGCAAACTAAGAAAATAGGAGTGTTGCAACACTCAACGCAAGAATGTTGTCATCTTCAACAGAAATGTTGCACCATTTAACAGATGAGTATTGCAATCTTCAACCGAAGAGTGCATGTTGCAGCCTTGAAAATAAAAGAGTTCCAACATTAAAAATTAAGCAAGCTAAAATCTTTTAGAAAGGAGTGAAGCAACATTCAACCTAACATTGCTGCCATCTTCCACAAGAAAGTTGTGGGCCGCATATCGATATCCCCTTGAAACAATCAAACATTTTGTACATTGTAAGCCATAGGCCATCAACTGCTGCAGTGCCAGGGCTTGACTCAACGACTTTTGCATCTAAAGTCAATTGCTTAAACCACTCGACTACATCTTACCTTCACACCCGTACTCATCTTCCCCGCTATTCAGACATTGGATTTCTCCATCGCATGTATCATCCAACCAGTCATAGCAGTGAGGGGAGCCATTACAAGCCACCTCAGGGTCCACGCATTCTGCAAAAGGAAAGAAGGCGTTCTTTGAATTTTGAATATTTTCATGATGAGAAGAGCATATTTAAGTTTTAATGTAACACGATGTGGGTTAGTTAATGAACAATTTTAAGTTAATGAACAATTTTGACACTGGGGAAGAGACAAATTAATGAACAAATACTATACAATCACTTTCACTGATGCATTTCCATATGCATTCAATTTCATATTTTCTGTTTTGTTTTTGCCCGATATATTATATATATATATATATATATATATACACATATATTAATTTGGACTACTCAATAGACCTGTTAAATTTTGTAGTTTACGTAGTTTTTTTATGAATATTTTGTTCCCGTATTTTGCATGTCTATGAATTTGTGTTCTGTCTTTCCATTCTTTTCTGTCAACAATGATGAATACCTTAAATGTGTTGCACAAGTATTACAAAATACGTATAACTTACAATTATTTAAATGACATGAGTGAAGATGTAAGATTAAACGATTCTATTCCAATTCTTGATTCTGACTTTGATCAACAATATGTAAATGATTGCAAATATTATTTGGAAGATGAATTCAAAGAGTCTATAGATCCAAATTTAGTGCTATACCTTTTAACTCGAGGAGTATGGCCAAAAATTTCGATCAAATTTCTGCCTACCTTAGCAGCCTTTCTTTAAATTTTACAGCTATTGGGATAACAGAGACGTGGCTGAATTCAGAAAACGAAAATTGTTACATGTTGGATGGATATAACTTTATTAATAATAACAGAAAAGTTGGTAGAGGAGGAGGCGTTGGAATATTTTTAGATGAAAAGTTGTGTTATCGATTACGGGATGACTTGAATCCCACGTGTTCTTCATGTGAAACTGTATTTGTTGAAATTAATATACCTTGATTAAAAAGTATAGTAATTGGTGTAATCTACAGACCCCCGAAGTCCAATTTATATCTATATATGACATATTTTGATAAACTATTGCAAGAACTTTCCAAAGATAATAAACAAATGTATCTCCTTGGAGACTATAATATTGAGTTATTGAAAATTACTTCAAATAGTATTATTACTCTAATGAACATAATTGCGTCACACGGCTTCTACATTCAAATTAACATTCCAACCTGTGTAACCAACTCATCCCTTTCTATTATTGATAACATATTAACGAATGACAATGATATTACTCAAGGTATTTTTTATTCCTCAATTACTGATCACATGCCAATTTTCTGCTATAAGAGAGGTGTTTATAAAAATGTTTCAGATCAGTCCTATACTTACAGGAAAATCAATGATTTAACGATTAATAATTTTTTTGTTGAATTAAGTAATATTGATTGGGGTGACGTACTAAGGTGTATGGATGCTGATAAAGCTTATACTTTATTTATGAATATATTCCTTAAATTGTATGATAAACATTTTCCTCTTACATCAACAAAAAAGAGAAGAAAAAATAGGAAACCGTGGGTTACCAATAAAATATTGAAATTGATTAAGAAAAAAAATAAATGTTTCAAAAATTTTTGTCAAACAAGACGTACAAGTGATGAGAGAAAATTTAAAAAATTAGAAATAAAGTTATTAATGCCCTTTGTAGAGCTCGTCAGGAATATTATAAGAACTTGTTACAATTGAATCGAAATAGTATTAAAAAGACCTGGAAAACAATTAATGAATTATTGGACAAAAATAAAAGTCAAATTCAAAAAACATTTCAATGTAACAGAAAATTATTTACTGAGCCTATTGAAATAACAAATCAGTTCAATAATTATTTTATTAACATTGGAAAATTTGTTAGTGACGCGGTACCACAATCTATTCATTCTTCTCATTTTTATTGTCGAACAAATGTTGTTGAATCCATTTTTTTATCACCTGTACATACGAGTGAATTAATTAATGTCAGTAAATACCTTAGAAGTAATGCAAGTTGTGGAATCGATAATGTAAGCTGTAAAGTTGTTAAGCGGGTTATCCATGCCATTGTATTGCTGTTAGTTCATGTATTTAATCTTTCCATTGTATCTGCCAAAGTAACCTTAAAACTCAAAGAATCTAAAGTAATCCCTGTTTTTAAGAAAGACGATCCCGGCAAATTTGTAAGCTATAGACCCATATCCCTCTTACCATGTTTTTCTAAATTACTTGAACGACTAATCTATAATCGGTTATATAAATTTTTTAATATCAAAGATATTTTAAGTGACACTCAATATGGATTTAGACCCAGCTATTCCTGTGAACATGTTCTTTTAAAAGTCCAACAAAAAATATTAGATTCATTTCAAGCTAACAAACATATAATAGGGATTTTCTTAGACTTATCTAAGGCATTTGATTCTATGGATCACTCAATACTTTTATTTAAACTACAACAATGTGGAATATGAGGGATTGCATTAGACTGGTTTAGGGACTATCTTTCAAACAGAGTTCAACATACTTTTGTCCACTGTGTTTTGTCTTCTTCGTTAAATGTCTTTATTGGGGTACCTCAGGGATCAATACTGGGCCCCCTGCTATTTATTTTATACATAAATGATCTTTGTAAATCATCTAACTTATTAACCGTCTATCAATTTGCTGATGACACTAGTATATTTTTTTCATCTAAAGATTTGAATAATACTGTCCACGTCCTAAATAATGAGCTTAAGAATATATCTGACTGGTTAAAAGCAAATAAATTGTCCCTGAATGTTGACAAATCTAAATGTGTTTATTTTCGAAAAACTAAATATAATATAGGATCTAAAATTTCCAAAATTTCTGATATAGCTAGCAATAACAGTCCTTTAATTAATAACGATAATATTCCCATTTATATTAATAATAAACTTATTCAATTAAGTAATCCCGTTAACTTCTTGGGTGTCGTATTAGATAATTGCTTGGGATTTAAGGACCAAAACCCACAAATGTTTTACATAAGATCAGCAGAAATGCTGGCTTGATAAATAAGCTAAAATATAGTTTGTTACCCGAAAATTTGATAACTTTATATCATTCCATTATTTTCCCTTATTTGAAATATTGTAATATTGTATGGGCCACTAATGCAACACAAACTGAATTAGACTCACTATTTAAAGTTCAAAAGAAATGTTTAAGAATAGCTACCAATTCTCATTATCTAGCACCTTCCGCACCTTTGTTAAAGAAGCTATCGTTACCAAATATATACGATATAAATAAGCAAGAAATCGCAACGTTCATGTACAAATATAAAAACAAGTTGTTACCTGCCCCCTTTTCAGACCTCTTTCAATATAAAAGTCAAATTCATAATTATAATACACGGCTTTCCAACAAATTTCATTTATGGTCTGTTAAGTCTAGTTATGAAGCTAAATCAATGAGTTATCTAGGTCCTAAACAGTGGAATATGATCCCCCAAGTAATAACGAAATCACAATTCATATCTTCCTTTAGAAAAACAATATAAAATCTTACTACTAAATAATTATTAATCAGCACAATTGTTGATTTTTTTTTCTTTTCCCCCTTTATATATTGTTTTTCTTCTCTCTATTTTACTTTCTCTTGTCTTATAGGTAGTTGAAGAGCTTGTACTTTGCTCATTTTACTTAATTTATTGTTGTGTGCTTATAATATGTTATATTTCTTTTTGTATTGTTTTTCATTGTTTAATGGGTGATCCAACTTCACAGGTTTTCGCAACCTTCATGGAAAGCCCCGCATATAACCTTTGTAAACATAGTTAAAATTTACTGTTACTTTGTATATTTTGATTTTTATATTGCGAAATAAAATTGAATTGAATTGAATTGAATTGAATTGAATTAGTCCATAAAAGTACTGTAGGTTCTTTTGTGGAGAGCCAGTGCAGAAAAGAACCAACAGGCCTAATGTAATACTCTGCATTTTTCACTAATCGCCCATATCGATAAGTCAATATCATCAATTTCCCTCAACTGAAGACTGTCCAAGAGACTGGGTATAGGAACGGTCATTTCTTGATTGGACTAAAGATTTGCTGTGAGACTTGTTCACTCATTAATGTTGTTGCCACAAAGACTTGTGTCACCAAATTATGACCTAGTGCACCTAGAAACCAAGGACAATTTCCTTTTAGTTGAATAAGAATGAAAAACTAGTCTTGCAATGCACATAACCATTAGAATACTGATATTTGGATTGTTTTCTTACTGATAGCTGTGACACGGAACTTCACATAAGCTTCCACGCCCTCCTTGGGGAAAGAAAGTAGAACAAAGCCTGTGTCGTTGGTCAGGGTGAAGTTATATAAAGAGCTGGTGCTATACTCAAATCCAGTTGCATCAAAGTATCCTCTGTTCAATGGAAAAGACGCTGGGTCATCACCAGCTCCGGCAATGATGCGGAGGAGGGGGACTATTTGAGGAGCGTTGTCAGACCACGTGAAATTTTGTAGCTCCACGAAGAGAGCGGATCCTGGTTCAGATTTGAAGACGTAATGGTAGAAGTCATAGAACTTGCTGGCGGGTGTGCCACGATCCTCCACAGGATCACCGGAACGTTGCTCGATCGTGATCCATTCACCAGTCAGGACATCAATCTCGGCTATAGTGGGATAAATATAGGAGAACATGAATGTTAAGATATGCATGGTGGTGTGTATAAATTCATCAGTTTGCAATAGTCTTGAAAAGGACTGTTGGGTTTGAAAGGGGATACAAAAGAAAATGAGAGGTAAAGTCAAACCATTCTTAGTGGTCACCTCTATATAAAGGCCACTTGTCTAGAGCAGCCACTTTCTGTGTCTGGTTTTGGTTGGCTTTTATAGAAAGGTTTCACTGTAAATGGAATCTTGACCTGATGACAAACAGTCAACCTGTTTGAAACTTCGAACTTTGATCTCTCTTCCCATTCAGATCCTGGTTCATCAGTCATTCTATTGGGCTCCTCTCATGAAAGAATGCAGGTACCTCTCTCCAGTGGGCGCGATAGCTCAGTTGGTAGAGCAGTGGTCTCGTAATCCGGTAACCCAGGTTTGACCAAGTCGATGCGCTGGTGCCCTTTGGTAAGGCATAATTTATACTTACCAGGTCAATCGGAGAGGACCTAAAGCAGTCGACCGTCTGGTTGCTTACTTACAAGCATTTATGCTTTCTTAGTAGTCAGGTAAAATCTCTTTATATTTTCTTTCACATGTTGTTGTAGAAAATTTTACTTGCCAACATTAAGTTTTAGATCAATGCAATCTGCACATGCTAAATTACACAGATAAAGGTCATTTTCACACCTACGTGTAAAACGATCTTAACCCTACTCCTAGAACTTATCTCAAATCCCAATTACAATCCTATTCATATTCCTATATTTGTGATTTAAAGAAACATCCAGAACATGTGTCACTTATAGCAAATCTGAAATTTCACTTGCAAACTATAGTGTAAACTTTATGAAAAGGGAAAATCCAAAAGTCTTTTTGATTATCTAACCCCTTCACTGCTTTGGTTGATGGACGAATCAAATACTGGACCGCCACATTAGACTTTTGTCACACATACAAACAATGTGGCAGCATGTAGTTTCAATCCAGAGCAAAACAAAGAGTTTTAAAAAAAATCCACATTGCAGGAGAATCAAATATTAGTAGAAAACAAAAAACGACAAAAAAATTATTAATATTAAAGATAATAACAACAATAGTTGTAGTAATGGTCATATATGTCCATATATAAGGTCCAGCTACTATATACAGATATACTGTACTGTGCTTAAAGGTAAAGACCAGTTTTGGAAATGCCCCCTCTCCAAAAAATGAGATGAAAGCTCTTATTTGATAATTTGAACCGGCCGTTGAAAAAACCCAAATAGCGCCTTACACGTTTTATTCCAGCCAATGCGATGTTGGCTTTTTGTTGGCTTTTTCGTGTTAGTTAGAATACGCACAACCAGTCGGCCCATTATTGTTATTATTAGTTAATTAATTAATTAACGGTCACCATATTTGTTTTAAAGTAGAGCTGAATTGGTATGATTGTATTGGATAAATTTCACACATTTTAGGGTCTAAAATTACCTTCATAGCAATTCAAGGTCCTGAAAGGGCACTAGAAATGTCATAAATAAGAATAAGAGCAATAACCTTGCACTTTGAAGACATTTGCGGTCTGAAACAAGAACTCAACTATCCCTTTAATAAAAAGTATCATGCTACTATTATATACAAAGAATATAGATGAGAATCTTACTGATAAACTCAGAGTCTCTGCAGACACTTTCCGCTTCGTCTTCTCCGTCATAGCAAATGTCAAAGAAGTCACAGACCAGAGAATCAAGAATGCATCCGATCCCAGGGCAAGTAAAACATCCTTTGAAAAAGATATATATCGTGAAAAGAACACTATTAATAACTATAGACATGTAATACTTGTTTGGAAGAAGTATAGGTGGGCTCTTTAAACTAAAATTTCAGAGAAAATAGAGCAAAAATAAGCATGATACTGCTACAAAACAATGTCATGATGATGTGAAAGAAATTCATCTCACATAGGCATAACACGAAAATTAAAATAATTCTGACACGTGACATTTAATCAAAATTTTCACTTAATTGTCTTAGCTACAACATATCCAAATTTGAAAGCAAACTTTATCAATATTTACAGAGATACAATCAATATTCCATAAATATGCTGACGTCATAATATGCAAAATTCGTATTTTGAGTTTGAAGGTCATTATGATGATGTCAGAATATTTTTAATGGCCAAATGAAATCATATCTCCAACTCATACTCTATTGCTATGACGAATGAAAACGCGCTTGCATGCATGTGTGCACGTTTTTTTGTTAAAGGAAACCTAAACCCAAAGAATAAGTGTAGGTATTCTGAAAAATGAGATGTATTCCTGCCCTTTGATGTACAATATTCTTTACGAAAATTTACAAGATATATATAAATGAAGATATTCCTTCAGCATGATATGGGCGCAGCCATTTTCTTGAAAATGTGACGTACCTGTTGAAGTTGTACATGTATCATGCACCAAGCTTTAGTTGGAAAGAATTTTTAAATCAATAACGAAACCTTTACTTTTCAATAAAAAATAATAATAACTGAGATGATAGAAATTATATTAGGTGAAAAATAAATAATAGGGGCACAATTGTAACAAAATTCATCTATAAATACTACACTATAGCAGTTGACAAATCTATTTCATTTATGAGAAACCTTCACCCCAGAAGAGCACTAACTTATTTATGCAATTTGCATTCTGGCAATTATAGTACAAATGATAATAGCAGGTGAATGAAATGCTTCATCACCACACACGTCTGGGAAAGAAGCATCCATAAACTTGAATACATTACTTGATAAACGACTTCGCATAGTACGTCACATTATCAAGAAAATGGCGATGCCCATGTCGTGTTGAGAAACTGTACTTTATTTTTGCTTTATTCCTCTTTCATAAACTTTGGTGGGGAATATTGTAGATTTATGGGCAATAATATAATAAATCTCTTAGTATAAGTAAAGTTATTACTTGGGGTTCGGTTTCCTTTAAATGCTCAAAAAATGGCCTTAAACGTATGCACACACAAAATTGAGACGATTTCAAAAATGTGCGCACGCACATGCTGCATTTTTTTACCTGAAATTGACCAGACGGATATTGACCTTGATCATGATAAATATGAATGAAAAATGACTTTCCGTTATGAACATGACGAAAACTTGTCGTTTAAAATTGAAACCCCCATTTGACTTTCACTACTCCTAGAGTTAAGCCTAAAGTAAACACTAGCGCTATATAATGTAATCCCCCTGCCGAGACCTTGACTGGGTGATAGAGAGGGAGAGAGAGATAAGCATGATAGAGGGAGACAGGAAGGGAGAAAGAGTGCTAATTTTCACATTTAAAATTGTTGTTATATAGCCAATTCAGGGGGGTGTTTCACAAGTTGGACTTAAAAATTATGGAAAGCCGTTAGCATCTTTGAAAATATTTTGTAAAAGTTATTTTGAAAGGCATAAAATGTTGATTCAAATGATTCATATTTTCTATCATCAAGGAGATTTCATGTTCTTGATGTGGAATTTATAAAAAAGTCTAAAATACTTGAATTTCTGCTTTTGAATATATTTCATTTTAAGGCTCCAATGGCTGTCCATAATTTTTAAGTCCAACTTAGCGTTAAGTTCTACTTAAGATCTTTGTGAAACACCCCCCTGGGTCATTTTGTTTCGTTCACACATTTTGGTCTTCATCTAAACTAGAAATATCGCAATCTGTATTGCCGCGCAATAAGAATGTATACCCCGTCAGTGGCAGCCATTTTGTGTCATCCTTATGTTCGGAGGAGGAACAAAGAGCCTCTCTCCCCTCCCTGAAACAAATGGAAGACGTAGAGGTCGCCACTAGTGGCTCAGACTATTGTCAAGACTAGGAGCAGCATCACCAAAACAATATGTGTGGAGATCAGAGTATAATGCATCTCTGTAGAAAATTTGAAAGAAATCTGTCAAGAAATGTGGCAGTTAGAGCGCACAAAAGACAGCCACCAAATATGAACTTTGACCCTATAACAGACGGAACACAGGTGGCAGCATCACCAAACACTAAAGATGTGTAGATTGTACTAAGACACACCTCCATACAACATTTGAAAGAAATCCATCAAGAAATGTGGAAGTTAGAGCGCATAAAAGACATATATACAACCTTTGACAATATAAAAGACGGAACAATGAGGGCAGCATCACCCAAAAGTGTAGATTGTACCAAGATACAATTCTAATTCTCTATACAAAATTGGAAGGAACCCCGTCATGAAATATGACCTGCAGAGCACACACTAGACACCATACAAAACAATATGGCCTTTTAACCTATAGAAGACGGAACACTGGGGGCAGCATCACCGAAAGTTAACTCATATCCTGCCATGAGACTGCTAGCGCGCTATTTTTGTTATAGTGCTCTGTGCACGCGAGCGCGCTATCGATTGAATGCCACGTTCATGCTAGCGAGCCACCGCTACTCTGCTTTGTCTACGCAAGGGCGCATATATCTAATAAGAGTCATTGTTCATGCCCATTGCACCGTGCTGAGTGCTTTTGCAGCGCTATTGAAAGTACCATCGCGTGCATCAGATTATTGGCTTTGGATTACGCATCTTTGTATACAACAGTCAGATTGGATTTTCTCGAGTAATTTAGCGATTTGTTTTTTGTAAAGATTTAAATAACACGCGCTTGAACCAACCTTACAATTAACTTGGCACACAGGAGATTTGTGGCTGGCACAATAGGGATTAGCACTGTGGCACTGGGTGCATTGTATGGGTGGCAGCTTAAGAGTTAAAGGTGTGTAAATTACGCCAAGATACACCTCCATACAAAATTTGAAAGAAATCCGTCAAGGAATGTGGCAGTTAGAGCGCACACAAGAATATGACGCGGCAGTGGCTGCGGCGGCGGCGTAACACTGCTGAATCCAAAGTACTACCGGCATACTGCCGGGGGATACAATTATTATTGACTTTTGGAAAATGAAAATATCTTAAAACAAGTACAATACTTATTTCCTACTTCTCATTTCCTTTCAGGCAGAGCCCCAGTAAGAGTTTGTTTACACTAGTATTACGTAAGATGATGAAGTGTCCAGCTGCAATACAATATCATTATCTCTCACGCAGAGCCTCAAGGCTCTGTTCAAATTTTTAACGAGAGAAACGAAAGTGGGGTCATAATACCCCACCTGATTTACATTGGTGCCTGTGTTATAGTGGTGAAGTATTAAAGGCTCTCTCATAGTTTTAATGAAAGAAACGAAAGTGGGGTCCAGATACCCCACCTGATTTACATTGATTCCTGTGTTATAGTGGAGGGGTATAGTTTTAAGGGAGAGCTTTTCGTAATGAAGATATGATCATGAGTTGATTTTCAGAAAATTTCACAAATGGCGTCTAGGTGACGTCATCAGTCATGGTAAAGATTTAAAACCTTGCTGTGCTTTGACCATATACCTATACATATGTGTTCCAAATGTCAAGGCATTTGATTGAGCTATTTTCAAGTTACAGTATCTTGCCCACAAAAAAAGGGTTAGAAATAAGATAAATAAATAATAAATAAACAAAAATAAAGGCAATTTTAACAAAAATAATAATAATATATAGGCCTTTATATTGCGCCGTCTATCTAGACAATTCTATTCCGAGGCACAACTTAATTATTACCCTGGCTTTAGTCTAGCTGCCATTACAGCGCTCTAGCATTTCAAGGGATTAATTCCTGCCAGGTACCTTTTTACCTCACCTCAGTCAAGTGTGGCAAATGCAGATTAATGCCTTGCCAAATGATATTAGTGCCGTGCCAGAGATAAAGTCAAGTGCTTAAACCACCCGACTTCGAAACTTCTAAACATCTAAACATTTTTTCGTGGTATCAAATAAATAAAGAAAAAAAGACATTATGTTGCCATTTTTTAGGCGGAAACTCCTAAAGGAATAATGTCAAAGCTTGTATACCGGTCAGGGTACCTGTACAGTTACGGTTTACACACATGCATCATCTTTAGATATCTTTTATTTAAAAATTTAACATAAAGTTAAAGGCCGGAATTCACAACAGAAGTTTATACCTAAACTGTGGTCTAAATCATCAATTTACAATGAGTGTCCATGTGAAATGTCATGCATGCAATATTATACAAATTATACAACCTGGGCAAAGGCATTGGGAAATCAAGTTTTGTGTGATAGGGAAATTCATGGGATAAAAATATATATTCAAGCAATTGATAAATAATGAGGCAACGACGTCACAAGCTGATAACCAAATTGGCAATTCATGTAGTGATTTTTCATTTCCATTCGGCATATAAATGACATATCGACTGCTTTAATAATCGAGGTCTGGCTGCTTTATCTGCTTTCGGGAACTAGCACGGAGGTATTAAACAGCCAGGCCTCTCAAAGTAGTCGATATAAAATCATATAACCTGGGCAAACGCATGGGAAATCAAGTTTTAGGGAATAAAAAGGGAAATTAATGGGATAAAAATATATGTTACACGTACCTTCGCACCCGTACTCGTCTCCCCCGGCTGCGCAGTCATATACACCATCACAGTATTCATGGTAATAAAGACAAGATGACCCATTGAAGTAGCAGGATAAATCACACTCTGTTAACAACAATATAATAAACAATAGTAATAATAATAGTAAAAGTAAGATTACTAGTAATAGTGATAAGAGTACAGTGAGAGGAATGAAGGATGATGAAAATGACTGTAATATTAATGATAATAAAATTAACCATATTACCAATAAAATCATCATCACAATTATTTATCATGGAACTCATTCGCAGGAGATGGTGTACGCCATCTTATCAAAAACACCACGGTGGCAAATAAATGACTAAAATGGTATGTTCCATTCCGTTTTCTTTATTATACATGTACATCTAATTCCATGCAAGGCGATAAGTGGGTATGCAAAGGGACCTTTGTTCCTTGGAACTATACTTCATACTATAGCAGTTTTTAATTTGACTTGTTAGTACCAACTGTAAATGGCAAGAGGGGGTGAAAAAAGAAGTAGCTGCAAGCTCTTGTATGTACTAACTAATCTGTGTGTTAAGAGCTACAGAAATGTAAAGGGCAGTATACCATGCTACTATACCTTGGTTCAGGCGCGGATCCAGGAACCCATTTCTATCGGCCCGGCTATGGCAACCCCTTTGTGTAAAAACTAGATAAACTCAGTTTATCAACTGATAAACTGAGTTTTTCTGATAAACTGTGTTTATCTGTTGATAAACTGAGTTTATCTGAGAAAAACAGAGTTTATCTGAGAAAAACAGAGTTTATCTAGTTTTTACACAAAGGGGTTGCCATAGCCGGGCCGATAGAAATGGGTTCCTGGATCCGCGCCTGCCTTGGTTCTTAGTTCTTGATTCAAATTACCATCAACCATAAGTACAATATTAACTATGGTACCGAACGTTGGTAATACGATGGTACTTGTTTTTATACAGGTATTCTTATTGTGTCCTGGCTGTCTACTACAACATACATACAACATCGCTGCCATCATCATCATCATTCACCGACACTGCACCATCATCCCAATCATTGTTATCGCATCACAGTCATTGCATCAACATCATCACCACCATCATCATCAACACATCGTTGTCATAAACACATCACGAGCCTTACCGCCATCACAGTTGAATTCATCTTCTTGACTGTAGACACACTCATATTCCCCATTACACGTGTCATTGGCCCAGTCCACGCAGTGAGGAGATCCAATACAAAGACTCTCAGGGCTCTCGCATGCTGAAAAAGAAAAGCAATCAAGAAATGAATCCCAAACTTTAAGGAATCCTTGAATCTATGGAAAACTATGTCCACCTAATACCATTGAACAGTTTAACCCTATTTAGCCCGGGGGGGGGGGGGGGCTTTAAAAGCCCCCCCTCGACATTTTTCCGAAATTTTTTAACGCAAGAAAATCTTGCACTAAAATTTTGTGACTTTTTTCTTTTGAGTCTTGCGCATCTTTTGAAAGATTTTTTTTTTTAAATCGGACCTCCCGTTACAAAGTCACGTGTCCTTTTGACTTTGCATGTCAGCCCGAAAATCGCTCATTTTTGTGATTTGTATACAAAACATATGGAAATCTCATTTTATTAAATAAAGTGATAAAACATTGGTTATTTGGTCTTGTTTATAGTTAAGGTTTTTATTTTGGGTTCAAAATAGTTGAATTATAGTTGGAAATGAAATAAAACAACAAAAACAATAAAATACATAAGTTAAAAAAACAAAGAAATACATAAGAAATTATCAAAACAATAGATAACATAAGGAATAACCCTGGTTTTTCAATTTTTGTGTTGTACTATTATTCCAAATGGTCTAACAAATATATGTAGTGAGAAAGAATGCTTTAATATGAATAATGTCTGATATATGGGCAAAAATGTGAATTTGATGACCTTATTTGCATAAATTACCATAAATATGCAAATGAGTGAATTTTTCAAAAAATTGAAATTACCTTAGTATTCTATACACTTCGCTTGACATGTATGCAAATTTTCGCGGCGATCGGTCGTTTCACGGCCGAGATCATGGGGGGGGGGGGGGGGCCTTAGAAGCCCCCCCCCCCCCCCCCCCCCCCTGGGCTATGCAGTTTCAAAATAACCCGGGCTAAATAGGGTTAATGACTTCAATACATTTGACCTTTGCCCTCTAACACACGAAACATAATCACTTTATCCTTGCATGCTAACATGCATAATTTATATACTCCCTCTAAGTTTAGTTTCAATTACTCTTCAATTAGTCATCGCAGTAATGATAATTTTTCTGGTAACCTTAAAAGCCATCAACATTTCAAAAACATGTTTGGAAGTGTGACAGTCAGGGTCAGGGACCTTAACCCCTTGCATACGGGAATCAAGTTGTCCCTGTATTAGCCTATGGGCATCAGAGAATTCAGTAGTGGAGAGGTTAAGGGGTAGTCAGCTTCATGTAGCTAACACATTACAAAGAATATAAGGATATATGTACTGGACACATTCCATATAGTGCAGCGGCTTAGCAAGAAAATTGTGCACTTTTTGATAAAAGCATGAAACTTCTAGCATAGTTTGCTTTCACCATAAGATTTATTTTCAGATGTGGAGGGAAGTCAGATTTGACCTCTGATGACCCTGAGAGGTCAAATCCAAAATGGCCGCCAGGCCGCATGGTCTAATGTACAAACATGCTTAACTTTTGAACCAAATAGTCCAGAGAAACGTTTAAGGTGTCATTTCCAACTAACTTGGGGATGCCAATTCATTTGGTAATACTTCTGAGATCGCCTGAACTCAGGGTTTTGCATTTAGGTCAAGGTCAAGGTCAAAATTGACTAAAAATAGCATGTTTTGAAAGGTTACAAATGGTAAAATCTCATTTATTTGTCATTTGTTCTCAAATTTCTTTAGGAATGGTTCCCCTGCACAGTCCTCCACCTTAATCCTTTTCTGGTAGTCTATTTCAGTTTGATTTGACCTCTGATGACCCTGAGAGGTCAAATCCAAAATGGCTGCCAGTCCGCAAGGGCTAATGTATAAACGCAGTAACTTTTGAACCAAATAATCCAGAAAAACATTTAAGGTGTCATTTCCAACTAAATTGGGGATGCCAGTTCATCTGGTAGTACATTTGAGATCACCAGAACTCAGGGTGTGGCATTTATGTCAAGGTCGAGGTCAAAATTGACTAAAAATAGCAAGTTTTGAATGGTTACAGAAGGTTAAATCCCCATTATTTGTCATTTGTTCTCCCTAGCTATGTTCTCAAATTTATTAAGGAATGGTTCCCTGCAGAGTTCTCCACCTTAATCCTTTTCAGTTAGTTTATCTAACAGTTTGATGTGACCTCTGATGACCCTAAGAGGTCAAATCCAAAATAGCCGCCAGTCCGCATGGTCTAATGTACAAACGTGGTAACTTTTGAACCAAAAAGTGTAGAAAAACGTTTGAGGTGTCATTTCCAACTAACTTGGGGATGCCAATTCATTACGTAATACATTGAGATCGCCAGAACTCAGGGATTTGCAATGAGGTCAAGTTAAAGGTCATATTAGGCCAAAAAAGTACTGTTTTCTTTTTTGAAATAAACATTGCCTCTATTTTTACACTTAAGGTTTCATTATTTTAAAAATTAATAAAAAGACCCGTGTACCACCACTTTGACTATCCAGGGCCAAATTTCATAGAGCTGCTTATCGGCTGGTTCTGTGCTTACGTATTAGTTTCTACTTCAAAGCACTGCTAACCGTAAGCACACGAAAATGCATTAACCTTACGCTGCTTACTGGACGAAAATGAATTTTGTAACAATGCAATCCATTGTGAACGTACAAGGTGGACGCCTTGTTTTCTTGCTAACCAAAGTTGTCTGCTACAGTTATAGCACGAAAATTTGCTTACCGGTTAGCAGCTTTATGAAATTGGGCCCAGAAGACAAAAAAAGCTATTCCAAATACGACCTAAAACCTGTTCATAACCACAGCTATAGATATTTACATGAATTTAGCACTGTCCACAACTTATGCATATCCTAATGATGGTAACGATCAAAATCTAACAGTCTCCAGAACAAGATCACATTCCAGTGCATCTTTTCTTGCAGCGACAGTGGATTATTCATGCCACAACTTTTATGCTTCCGGGAGAGTGGTCCAAAGAGGCTACCACCCAGTTGTTTCGTTTGTCCAGCCCAAGTCAGATGGCTCTGCATCTCTGGATTCTTGGCCAATATCTGGTTTCAACAGTTGGCCTGGTAGCAAGTGCGCTTGAGGTGCTGCTTGAGTGCTGCCTGGGATGGAGGAAAGTTCTCCAGGTTTCTAGACTTCTGTGCGAAGAGCTGTTTCCTGGCATCATTCACTATCATGCTCTCACTGGTTCGGTCGTATTAGCACCACAAATCGCTCTGGCAGTAACATTGATCCTTCACTGACCTCGATCCTAGGCATGCACAGGAGTTCATTGAAGGAATCATTCACCTCTGGGAAAGACTTCTAAGTTTTTCCTGTGAATGTAGAAACAGTGTGACACCCGGTGAACGCATGAAAGATTGGAAGAGTCATACATTGTGTCAGACTCATGGTGGCAACTATCATGATTTTATGAAAAGCCTTGTACCGAAAGCTTGATCTGGCACCAAAAGCGATCCCCAGCTAGCATCAGGAGCTGTCTTGCTGAATGAAGCCACGGCCAGTTCAACCGCATCAGTACTAACAATACGTATGGATACCCTTTTACACCCATGGGACAAGGCCTACCAAGTGTGACTCAGCAGGAGAGCAGAGTACTCCACTTCCATCTGTTGCATATTATACAGTTCCTTGCCCTGTGGTAGAGGAAGGTAAACGGCTTCGCATGACATGAAATCAAACAATTCGGTTTTGTTCTCATTGAATCGAAGGAAGTCCTTCCAGCTTTCTGGCAGCAAAATGGAAGGAGCCACCCTTTTCCTGGTGTCCTTTCCCTTTTCCTGCCCTATTGAGGCTTTCAGGCTAGCAGGTAAGTATACACCATAGCCAAGGTCGATGTGGATGCTTTTCTCGAGTTGAGCAAAGATGTATGGGGCAAACACTTTTTCTCCATACTCTTGAAATGTTCTTGATGTTCCAGGGTTGAGCATTTAATTGAACCACAGCTTCACCATCAATAATTATTGCTTGGGCCACAGGTGCACTATTGTTTTCGAACAGATTTGATTCCAGGCAGCGAAGTAGATCTGCTTTAACTCCAAACCGCATTTACCTCCAGTTAACAAAGCTGGCGGGACTGCCTGGTTTTCATGAGAGAAGAAATTGTCCATATCTGCATCCCTTGTCTGACACGAGATGTAAATCCTCAAAAAGAGACCACAGTCACTCTTAAGTGCTGCAAGCTGTGCCTTCTGTTTTAACATATATATAACCTTCGCCGGCTGCCGACTGAAAAATGGCAACTTGTTCGTATGAAGTGTTTGTGTGACAGCTAGGTGTCGTACACTGCTCTAGCCTTTCTGTCACAAACTTTGTGTACTGCTCACCTAGGGTCTCAATCCTTCTCCCCGTTTCAGCCAATTGGATGTCCATGATATGTCGCTTGTGCCAATGACTAGTATGTCTTGACTTTGTTCTAGAGATGGATTCCCCATCTCTTTCAGTACTGTCAGAAGTTCCCATCCCTCAAGAATGCTGCCTGCACTCCAGGTTGCTGGTCAAGGTGATTTTTGTATAGTGTTAGCAGAAACGTTAGTTTGCTTTATGGCATGTTCCTCAAACTCTGTAGCGATTATTTAAATTACTTAAACCAAATAAAACACAAAGTAACTTAAAGAACATCTTACCAGTATTATTGAGCAGTAACGGAAAGGAGCAGTTTCCCTGACTTGAATTGAGGTTTGTACCGTATACTGCCTAGCTGCCCACTGACCATGCTATATGCATATGGTCAGTTACAAGACAACTACTGGTTTGGTGCTATAATTAGTGAAATAAACTAACTGACAGGGATTACGATGGAGACTATGCAGGGGAACCACTCCTAAAGAAATGTGAGAACATAGGGGGACAAATAAATGGGAAAACTTTTTGTAAACATTCAAAACTTGCTATTTTTTTAGTCAATTTTGACCTTGACCTTGACTTCATGCAAAGCCCAGAGTTCTGGCGTACCCTAAAGTATTACTAAATGAATTGGCATCCCCAACTTAGTTGGAAATGACACCTTAAACGTTTTTCTGGACTATTTAGTTCAAGAGTTAAGCGTGTTTGGACAATTATTAGACTATGCGGCGGACTGGCAGCCATTTTTTATTTGACCTCTCAGGGTCATCAGAGGTCAAATCTGATTTCGCTCTACATCTGAAAATGAATCTCATGGTCTGCAGGGGAACCACTCTTAAAGAAATTTGAGAACATAGGAGCGAACAAATGACAAATAAATGGGATTTGTTTCGTTGTAAACATTGAAAACTTGCTATTTTTAGTCAATTTTGACCTTAACCTTGACCTAAATGCCAAACCCCGAAATCTGGTGATCTCAAAAGTATAACCCAATGCATTGGCATCCTCAATTTAGTTGGAAACGACACCTTAAATGTTTTTCTGGACTATTTTGTTCAAAAGTTAATTAGCGTGTTTGTACATTAGACCATGCGGACTGGCGGCCATTTTGAATTTGACCTCTCAGGGTCATCAGAGGTCAAATCTGACTTCCCTCCACATCTGAAAATGAATCTTATGGTCTAAACTAACTATGCTAGAAGTTTCATGCTTTTATCAAAAAGTGCACAATTCTCGTTATATGGGGAGCTAATCCGCTGTACTAATAGTAGCCACCAGAAAAGAGTGGAAGATACTTACCTATGGATGTGACCCGCAGCTGGACAGAAGCATTTATGCCATTGGGGAAACCAATCAGAGCAAAACCTGTGTTGCTCTTGAGAGAAGCGTTCGAAGAGTAGCTAATGCTAAAACTATAACCTGTTCCATCAAAGTAAAGGACATTAGCTGAAGCGTTTGTGGGGTCGTCTCCAGCGCCAGCATAGATGCGGAGGAAGGGGGCAAGCGGGCCATCAGACCAGGCAAAATCCAGTAACTCCATGAAAAGGGTTGTACCTGGTTCGCCCTGAAATACATAGTGTGTGAACTCGACGAAGTTGCTTGCTGGGGTGTTGCGAATTTTATCACCTCCAGGCCGTTGTTCAATAGTCACCCAGTCTCCAGTTGGTACCTCAACATTCTCTAGGATGGGGCAGAGACAATGACAGCAATACATATCAATGATTAACATTCTACTCTTTGAGTTTTGTAACAAACTTTTAAAGATAAAGCGAATTAAGTTCTGGTCGTGTGAATTGCTTTGTAAAATACACTGTATGAAAGTGATGGGAAAGATTGATCATGTAGCAGATAAGCATTTGTGTATTCTCTGAGGTTTTGGAATAATCAAAATGATAAGAAATTGGCCTAGTCTTGCTAAAAGTTACGTGCACTGTTCACAGAAATGTGTATATGGGACTTTACAAACAGTGGCGTCAAAGTGTGGTACACAACTTTAAGCTGTTACATGCAATACTTAAAATATGAGGGAATTTTAAGAGTCATATATACCTCTCCAGGGGACACATTTTCTATAATACTCTTTCACACTTACATGTCTGGCAAAGAAGACCTTCGGGTATAGTATTTAGTTAATCTTTTTTTTCTTCCTGTAATCCATGAGAATCACCTTAAATTTCACTTTTGTTTTTTATACACTGTTTCTGGATTTTGTCTTTGCCAAATAAATGAAAAAATTATAACAATGAATCAAGCTCACAAATGAATTTCCAACTTTCCAAGGACTCTAGCAAGCCTATCTTTAAATTTTGGTCATGTTGTTCCTCCATTCTTGCATGGGATAATACTTAGTGAATCTTCACAAAAACTTTGATGCAAGCACAATTTCTAGAAAGCTGCTAAAGTCTATAGACAGGTGGTCTATATATAAAGGTAGTCGCTGTCAGCTGAGACTTACTGATGAATTCAGAATGTTTGCAGAGACTCTCAGATTCATCTTCCCCTCCTGGGCAGTCGTCATAGAAGTCACAAACTCGAGCATCAGTCAGGCACTCGGAGTTTCCACTACAGGCGAAACATCCTGTACATAATGATAATAATAATAAACTAAACATATAATACTTGTTTGGAACAAGTATATGTGGGCTGGTCAACTAAAATTTGACACAAAATAGAGCAAAGATAAGCGACATACTGCTAAAAAACAATGTCATGTAAATTAATAATGGGAACGAATTGACCATAGGCATAACATGCCTAAGACTGAGCTGGTAGAGAATTGTCTTAGCTACAACATATCGAAATTTGGAAGAAAATTGAACAATATTTACAGAGATACAATCAATTTTACATAAATATGCTGACGTCATAATATGCAAATTCGTATTTTTAGTTCGAAGGCCATTATGATGATGTCACGATACATTTAATGGCCAAATGAGACATGAAATCATATTTCCGACTCATACGCTATCTAAATATGAAAAAAAATTGAGAGTCCCGGTGCATTCCAAAGAGCTATAATGGATTTTGTATGGGCATGTTTTTGCCCATATATGCTATGTATTAAAAGAGCTCGCACGCACGGACCATTATCTTGAATGGACGCTCATCTTGTAATTAATGGCCATAAAGAGAAAAACATGGTATCAAATTCCTCGAAAAAATATGAGAAATATAAAAAAAAAAAAATGGCGATTCTATTTTGTGTAATGGTGTTACGCGTGAAAACGCACGCGTGTGTGTGTGCGCGATTTTTATTTTTTTTATGAAATGCTTAAAATGACCTGAAACGTATGCAAAATTAATTTTGACGATTTTGAGCATTTAAATTTTTTGCGCACGAATTGACGCCCGGACGTACGCGCATGCGCACATTTTTTTACATGAAATTGACCGGACTGATTTTGACCTTGATCATGATAAATATGAATAAGAAATGTCTTTTGGTTATGAAGATATGATCATGAGTTAATTTTCACAAAATGGCGCCTAGATGACGTCATCAGTCAAGGTCAAGATTGAAAACGTTATTTTGATTTCTCTATATGCCTATACATAGGTTCGTAAAATTTCAAGTTATTTGATTTAGCCATTTTCAACTTATCTTGCTAACAAAAAAGTGGGTGGAAATAAGAAAAATAGACTAGATTTGTAATACATGTTTGGAACAAGTGTAGGTGGGCTGATTCAACAAAAAATTGAGACAAAAAAAGGGCATATTTGAGATATCTTATTGTCTCAGCTACAACATACTTGAAGTTTAGCGTAATCGAAGCTTAAACAACGTAGATATTGCTCGCGAAAAACGGGAATGTAGATTGTAGAATCGAGTTTTGAGAAAAAGTCATGTCCCATAGAGAACACACGCAAAATGTGAAAAATTGACATGCCTCCTTTAATCGCAAAAATACGCCATGATGCTTTTGTCAAAATAAAAAATGTGGCAATTTTATTTGTTAAGAATTGTCTCAGCTAGAACATATCAAAATTTGGAAGAAAATCAATCAATATTTACAGAGATACAATCAATTTTTCAAAAAATATGCTGACGTCATAATATGCAAATTGAAATTATGAGTTTGGAGGCCGTTATGGTGACGTCATGAGTTAATTTAGGGTCAAATAAGACCTTAAACAATATCTCTGAATCATACTCTATTGAAATATGAAAATAAATTGGGTCACTTTGCATCCTAAAGAGCTACAATGGATTTTGTATAGGCATATTTTTGCCCATATATGCTACACTGTTGCTCATAACGGTGGAATATTTTTTTTTATCCCAATTTATGGAATTATTTTAAAAATAATTTAAAAATACTAGATCTAGATAATAGTATACAGTCTCAGATTTTATTGAATAATAATTTGCCAATATGTGTTTTGCGTGACTGCTAAAGCATGTATATTATGCTACTATGTTTATCAACTAGGGGACCTATGCCCTTAAGTCATAAATGACAGTAATGAGGATTAATGCCTCACAAAAGGGCACTAATGTAGCACATCGACACGGTGTTGATCCTGGGGCCTCACAGTTACGAGGCCATTGCGTTGTCACTGAACCATGACTGTACGCAGCGGGGGCTAGGGTAGGGGGCAGTTTCCATAAATTAAAAAAAACACAGAAAATGCAATAAATATTCCAATAATTTATTGCATTTTACCCCGGTCCCCAACATAAAAAAAATACTCTGGACGGCCATGCATTATGGCTCAAGGCATGGGCACACAGAAGATTTTTTTATGTTGGGGACCGGGGTAGAATGCGATAAATTATTGAAAATTTATTGCATTTTCTTTCTTTTTTTAAATTTATGGAAACTGCCCCCTACCCTAGCCCCCGCTGCGTACAGTCATGGTTCAGTGACAAAGCAATGGCCTCGTAACTGTGAGGCCCCAGGATCAACACCGTGTCGATGTGCTATATTAGTGCCCTTTTGTGAGGCATTAATCCTCATTACTGTCATTTATGACTTAAGGGCATAGGTCCCCTGGTTGATAAACATAGTAGCATAATATACATGCTTTAGCAGTCACGCAAAACACATATTGGCAAATTATTATTCAATAAAATCTGAGACTGTATACTATTATCTAGATCTAGTATTTTTAAATTATTTTTAAAATAATTCCATAAATTGGGATAAAAAAAAATATTCCACCGTTATGAGCAACAGTGTATGTATAACAAGAGCTCGCACGCACGGAAATTTATGTTAAACGGTCGCTCATTCCGTTATTAATAGTCATAAAGAAACAAACATGGTATCAATTTGTTTGTAAAAATATGTGGAATATTATGAAAGAAAAAAAATGGCGATTCTATGTTGTGTAATAGTTTTACGCACGAAAACCCGCGCGCATGCGCTTGTGCGCGATTTTTTACAAAATGATTAGAATGGCCTAAAACGTATGCAAAATGATTTTCAGACAATTTAGAGCATTTGAAAATTTTGCGCGCGCACTGACGCGGACGAACGCGTACGTGGCGTTTTTTGACCTGAAGTTGACCGGACGGATATTGACCTTGATCATGATAAATATGAATGAGAAATAACTTTTGGTTATGATATGATCATGAGTTGATTTTACGAAAATTTTACAAAATGGCGCTTAGATGACGTCATCAGTAAAGGTCAATGTTGAAAACGTTATTGTGCTTTGTACATATGCCTATACATATGTGTGCCAAATTTGAAGGCATTTGATTGAGCTATTTTCAAGTAATCGTGCTTACAAAAAAGTGGTTCGAAATAAGAAAAATAAAGAATAAAAATAAATAAATAAAGGCAATTCTTACGAAATTATAAGGTGGTCTGTACGATATACAGCCCACCTGATAATACTTGTTTGGAACAAGTATAGGTGGGCTGGTCAACTAAAATTCGAGACAAAATAGAACAAAAATAAGCGAGATACTGCTTAAAAATTCTTAAAAAGCAATATCATGTAGTTTCATGACGTGAACGAAATTCACCTTCTATAGGGATAACACGCAAATTATGAAATTTCTGACATGAGGCCTAAATCGAAATTTTCACTATGATGACGTCATCAAAATGAAAAATGGTGTCTATTAAGCTTGTAGAAAATTGTCTTAGCTACAACATATCGAAATTTAGAAGAAAATCGATCAACATTTACAGAGATACAATCAATTTTACATAAATATGCTGACGTCATAATATGCAAATTCGTATTTTTAGTTTGAAGGCCATTATGATGATGTCACGATACACTTAATGGCCAAATGAGACATGGAATCATATTTCCGACTCATACACTATTTAAATATAAAACAAAATTGAGGGTCCCTGTGCATTCCAAAAAGCTATAATGGATTTTGTATAGGCCTCTTTTTGCCTGTATTAAAAGAGCTCGCGTGCACGGACATTTATCTTGTTATTAATGATCATAAAGAGATGAACATGGTATCAAATTGTTCGAAAAAATATGAGGAATATCATTTTTTTTAAAATGGCGATTCTGTGTTGTGTAATGGTGATACGCGCGAAAACGCGCGCGCATGAGCGTGTGCGCGATTTTTTTATAAAATGTTTAAAATAACCAGAAACATATGCAAAAAAAATTTGAGATGATTTTAAGCATTTAAAATTTTTGCGCGCGCACTAATGCGCGGACGTACGCGCACGCGCGCGTTTTTTGACCTGAAATTGACCGGACGGATATTGACCTTGATCATGATAAATATGAATGAGAAATTAATTTTGGTTATGAAGATATGATCATGAGTTATTTTTCACAAAATGGCGCCTAGATGACGTCATCAGTCAAAGTCAAGGTTGAAAACCTTACTTTGATTTCTCTATATGCCTATACATATGTGTGCCAAATATCAAAGCATTTGATTGAACCATTTCAAAGTCATTTTGCTAACAAAAAAGTGGGTAGAAATAAGAAAAATAAATAAATTAATAAATAAATAAATAATAAAGGCAATTTTAACAACATTATAAGGTCGTCTGTATTAGATACAGCCCACCTGATAAATAAATAAAGGCAATTCTAACAAAATTATAAGGTGGTCTGTACGTTATACAGCCCACCTGATAAATAACTAGACATATAATACTTGTTTGGAACAAGTATAGGTGGGCTGGTCAACTAAAATTTGACACAAAATAGAGCAAAAATAAGCGAGATACTGCTAAAAAGCAATGTCATGTAGTTTAATGATGTGAACGAAATTCAACTTCCATAGGCATAACACGCAACTTAAGAAATTTCTGATATGTACCCTTTAATCGTAATTTCCACTATGATGAAGTGATCAAAATAAAAAATGGTGGGGACTGAGCTCGTAGAGAATTGTCTTAGCTACAACATATCAAAATTTGGAAGAAAATCTATCAATATTTACAGAGATACAATCAATTTTACATAAATATGCTGACGTCATAATATGCAAATTCATATTTTTAGTTCGAAGGCCATTATGATTATGTCACGATACATTTACTGGCCAAATGAGACATGAAATCATATTTCCGACTCATACTCTATCTAAATATAAAACAAAATTGAAGGTCCCGGTTTATTCCAAAGAGCTATAATATATTTTGTATAGGCATGTTTTAGCCCATATATGCTATGTATTAAAAGAGCTCACGCTCATCTTGTAATTAATGGTCATAAAGAGATAAACATGGTATCAAATTCCTCGAAAAAATATGAGAAATATGAAAGAAAAAAATAGCGATTCTATGTTGTGTAATGGTGTTTTGCGCGAAAACGCGCTCGAATGCGCGTGTGCGCGATTTTTTATAAAATGCTTAAAATGACCTGAAACGTATGCAAAATAAATTTTAGACGATTTTGAGCATTTAAAAATTTTGCGCGCGCATTGACGCGCGCGTTTTTGGACATGAAATTGACCGGACTGATATTGACCTTGATCATGATATGAATGAGAAATACCTTTTGGTTATAAAGATATGATCATGAGTTGTTTTTTAAACAAAATGGCGCCTAGATGACGTCATCAGTCGAGGTCAAGGTTGAAAACCTTACCGTGTTTTGTCCATATGCCTATACATATGTGCGCCAAATATAGGAAGATTAAAACATAAGAATAGATGTAAAGTTGAAAAATTTACCTGTACAGTTAAATTCATCGATACCAACTGGGCAGTCATATATTCCATCACATACATCGCTTTCATCGAAACATGTAGTATCAAAGGAACATGGATACTCGTCTTCACCGCAAACTACAGAAGGAAAAGGAGAACGTTAATTATCACATTTTATGCTCTTTATAATGATGAAACCTGTACTGATGATGAAAAGTATAATTATGAATATATTGATGATTTGACACCTAGTTATGTCATTGATTGCGATGATAAGGAGGATTATATATATATGAATAATGGTCATAGTGACGGTGATGATGATGGTGATGATAATGATGATGATGACAAAATAATTATGATATTGATGATGGTACACCTAGTTATGTCAGTTATTGCTATGATGAGGATGATGATATATTTATGAATAATGGTCATAGTGACGGTGATGATGATGATGATGACGATAATAATCATGATATTGATGATGGTACACATAGTGATGTCAATTATTGCAATGATGAGGATGATGATATATTTATGAATAATGGTGATAGTGATGGTGATGATGATGGTGATGACGATGATGATGATGATATTGATGATGGTACACATAGTGATATCAATAATAGCAATGATGAAGATGATGATATATTTATGAATAATGGTGAAAGTGATGGTGATGATGATGATGACGATGATGATGATGATATTGATGATGGTACACATAGTGATATCAATAATAGTAATGATGAAGATGATGATATATTTATGAATAATGGTGATAGTGATGGTGATGATGATGGTGATGACGATGACGATAATAATGATGATTGTACACATGGTGATGTCAATAATAGCAATGATGAAGATGGTGATATATTTATGAATAATGGGGATAGTGATGGTGATGATGATGGTGATGACGATGACGATAATAATGATGATTGTACACATGGTGATGTCAATTATTGCAATGATGAGGATGATATATTTATGAATATATTTATGATATAATGACAAAATGAAGGATATGATCAATAATAATAATAATAATAATAAACAATATTTATAAGGCGCTTAATACTGGTGTCTCTAAGCGCACCATATTCTGACTTAACAATTATTTACCAAAACTTATGATAAACAAACAACTTAAACATCTGTTTTTTATTCAATAAATCATGCATATATAATAATAAAAAATAAGATAAGAGTGAGATCAAACAAACATACAGTATACAAGAGGTCAAACATAGGATCAAACATAGGAACGAACAAACAAAAAATAAGACGGTGTGCACCTCCTTTGACCGACTCACAACTGCAGAATATTATTTATGAATTAAAAAGGTGCGTTTTCAGCAAGGACTTGAATTGGTCGAGAGAATGAATATTATGAAAGTGCGCTGGTAATTTGTTCCAAAGGATAGGGGCATTTACTGAGAAAGCTCGGTCGCCATATTTAGTAGCGGTACGAGGTCCGAGGGTTAACTGCAAGGTTGATGATGATCGAAGAGGTCTTAAAGAACTAGAAGAACGTAAGGAAATCAAATCTGAAAGATATTTAGGGGCTTGGCCATGGAGAATTTTGTATGTAAGAAGAACTTTGAATGTGATGCGATGGTGTATGGGAAGCCAATGAAGAGAACGCAATATTGGGGTTATGTGCTCAAACTTTCTCGAGAGAGTAACAAGCCTTGCAGCAGTATTCTGAATTCTTTGAAGTGGAAGTAGGGACGATTGCGGAAGACCAGAAAAAATTGAATTACAATAATCAAGGTGGGAGGATACAAATGCATGGGTTAATTTTGCAGTTGTGGGCTGGTCAAGTAGTTTCCTAATTTTCCCAATTTTGAAGATTCCAAAAGATGCCGATTTACATACGTTTTTAATGTGCTGTTGAAAAGTAAGATTTTTGTCGATTAAAACACCCAGGTCTCGAACGTATTCACTACCCTTCAGTGAGCCATCTCTGGTAACCAAGTCGGGGAAGGAATCGGTGTTTCTGAATTTGGAAGTAATGTGGATCATTTCAGATTTTCGTTCATTAAGGCAAAGTCTATTGTTAGAAGACCAGAACCTAATGTCTTCAAGGCAACTGCTGAGTTTCCGAGTCGCATCATCCTTCCCGTTAGGCTTAAGAGTTATATAAATCTGAGTGTCGTCAGCGTACATCGCATGTTGAATCCCCTGGTGAGAGTTAATGACCTTAGACAGTGGGCTGGTGTAGAGAACGAAGAGAAGTGGGCCGATTACGGAACCTTGAGGAACGCCGCAGGTCAGTGGAAATGTTGCAGAAGGCGTGTCGTTGATGATCACACGTTGACTGCGATTGTGGAGATATAAGCGTATCCAATCAAGCACAGTTCCGGTGATGAAAAAGTCATTTTCCAGGCGATGAAGTAACAGGGTATGGTCGATGGTGTCAAATGCAGCCGTATAATCCAGGAGGATGAGCACGGCTTCATTACCCTTGTCTATGGCCAGGAGAAGATCGTTCAGGACTTTAACCGTAGCAGTTTCTGTTGAATGGTGGTTCCTGTAAGCAGATTGATGAACAGGAAGCATGCCAAATCTCTCGAGGTGGGCCTTCAGCTGAGCAGCCACAATCCTCTCCAAGACCTTATCTAGGAAAGGTAGGTTTGCAATGGGCCTGTAGTTGTTCAGTCCATTTGGATCAAGGTTCGGCTTCTTGAGAAGAGGAAGGAGTAGGGATGTTTTAAATGATTCCGGGACATGACCAGAAGACAAGGAGAGATTAAACATCTTGGTGATAACAGGGAGGAGTTCGTCAAGGGTGTCCTTCAAGAGCCACGTGGGAATTGGATCCAATTTACAGTGTTTAGATGGTAGTGATTTGATGAGCTTCCTAACTTCCGAATCAGATACAAGACAGAACTGGGAAAGTTCATGATCAGACGACGGAGCGCAATATGTGACTGCTGGCACCGGAACTGAGTCAGTGAAGGAAGATACCAAATTGGATACCTTCTCGCTGAAGAACCTAGCAAACCTGTTGGCAAGTTCACTGTCAGATGAGTGATCCGGAATAATTGAAGATTGATTTGGTGATGAGAGTGACTGTACAATACTGAACAGTTGTTTGGTGTCAGCATCTGAAATAATATTCTTGAGATACGTTGACCTAGCACTGTAGATGCATTCGTAGTAAGAATCGCATTCTTGACGATACAGTTCCCTGTCAACACAAAGCCCTGACTTAATCATACAGCGTTCCGCCCGGCGCCTTCGTCTCTTTGCCTCCCGCACGTCTTTGGTAAACCAAGGCGCTTTAGGTCTAATTGTGACGGTTTTGACTTGAAGAGGAGCATGCCTATCAATCAAGATGATAATAGTGTTGATGATGATGAAAGTAAAGATGATAGTCCTCACGATGATGGTGATGATGGTAACGATAATTATGATGATTATGACAGTAATGATAATGATTGGGATGGTGATAGAGATGATGATAATTATGATGGGGGTGATTATAATATTAATATACAAATTTCTTTACATTTTTTCAACAAAAGAGTAATGTAACATTCAATCTACATAATAGTATCGCGACTCTAAACAACTTCATTATTACCTGGGCAGTCAAATTCATCCTCTCCGTTAGAGCATTCTCGTACGCCATTGCAAACCCAGTATGGATCATAAACACATTCATAGTCAGATTCACATTCAAAGCAGGAGGAGTTTGCTGGAGGGGTTCCTGGGGTGGTTGCTGGAATAAAGTTTTAAAAAAGATCATATACAATGCACTGATACAGTTAATGCCAGTTTAACTAAAAGTCACCAGTGCATGCATGCATGCAAAAACATAAAGCATACCTGCCAGCATTTGAAAATAAAAATTAGGAATTGTTAGCACGGTATGCCTTCGAAAAAAATAAATCGCACTTGCAGCGGCAGTGTAACTGGCAATACGGAATCGAAATTTTGTCAAATCTGAATATTCTGAATTTTCAGGTTCTAAAAATCAAGAAAATCTGAATATTCCTGATTATTTGTAAGGGTTGGCAGGTATGCATGAAGTACAAAATATGGCCTCAATACACAAACAATTGCTTTGGTAGTCAATACATAAAAACCCTGATTTTTTAAACTTTGCTGCATTCGATGTTGCAAACTTGAAAATAGGAGTGTTGTGACCTTAACCCTATTTAGCCCGGGGGGGGGGGCTTTAGAAGCCCCCCCTCGACATTTTTCGCGATTATTTTTTAACGCAAGAAAATCTTGCACTGAAATTTTGTGACTTTTTTTCTTTCGAGTCTTGCACATCTTTTGAAAGAAATTTTTCGAAAATCGGACCTACCGTTACCGAGTCACGTGTCGTTTTGTCTTTGCATGTCAGCCCGAAAATCGCTCATTTTTGTGATTTGTGTACAAAACATATGGAAATCTCATTTTTCTAATGAGATAAAACATTGGTTATTTGGTCTTGTTTATAGTTTAGGTGTTTATTTTGGGGTCAAAATAGTTGAATTATAGTTGGAAATGAAATAAAACAACAAAAACAATAAAATACATAAGTTAAAAAACAAAGAAATACATACATTGTATTATTATTCCAAATGGTCTAACAAATATATGTAGTGAGAAAGAATGCTTAAATATGAATAATGTCTGATTTATGGGCAAAAATGTGATTTTATGACCTTATTTGCATAAATTATCATAAATATGCAAATGAGTGAATTTAAAAAAAATTGAAATTACCATAGTATTCTATACACTTCACTTCACATGTATGCAAATTTTCCCGGCGATTGGGCGTTTCACGGGTGAGATCATAGGGGGGGGCCCCCCCCCCCCCTGGGCTATGCAGTTTCAAAATAGCCCGGGCTAAATAGGGTTAAAGGCTAGATCCACTCCAAAAAAAATTTGCTTTCAATAGAAGCAGAAAAACGAGAAACAGAGCACACACAAAATTGAGTAACATCGGTCGACTAATAAGGAAGTCATGATTTTTTTTTTAAAGTATGAAAATGTATGAAACTTAGAAATTCACTCTACAAATTGCCAATTTGGTTATCAGTTGGTGAAGTCATTCCCTCACTATTTATCAATTGCTTTATATATTTGTATCTATCCCATTAATTTGTCTTTTTATCCCCCAAAGCTTGATTTCCCCATTCCTTTTCCCAGGTTATTAGATTTGTTTCATATATTGCATGCATGACATTTTACAAAATCCTTTTTGAACTTTGAAGAATTGATACTGTTTTGAAAGTATTCAATAATTTATCAAAATTCACATTTGTCATGATCTAACTGGCAAAAAAAATCTATAAAGGGTACCCACACAAAAAAAATTACTGTCAAAATAACTTGGATGCTGGTGTGAGGAAATAAGATTCTTAGGGGGGAAATAGGTAATTTATATTATCAATATAAAGGAAACAATTAGTGGATAGTGAGGCAATGATGTCACAAACTCATGAGTGAGTTGTCAAGTTGTCTTGTGATTTTCCAAGTTTTGTATGCCATTCAAAATTAATAACTTTCTTACTGGTTATCCGATTTTGCTCAAACATTTTTTGATTGGTTTGTATGATTTTTCTGCTTCTATTGAAAGAAAGTAATAATTGGAGATGACATGCTCTCTAAACATAAGAGTGTTGCAACACTCAACGTAAGAATGTTGCCATCTTTAACAGAAATGTTGCAACATTTCACAGAGGAGTATTGCAACCTTCAACCTAGGTGTGCATGTTGCTTTGACAATAAGAGAGCTCCAACACTAACAATCAAGCAAGCTAAAACCTTTTACAGAGGAGTGGAGCAACATTCCACCTCAGAATGTTGCCATCTTCGACAGAAAAGTGTTGCAATATTCATCCTATTAAAGAATGTTACCATCTTTAACATAAGAGTGTTGCAACATCAAAACATAGATGCACAGTCAAAGCAGTTTCGTGGGGGGTCCGCTGGAATAAAGTTGTAAAAAAGATCACATACAATGCACTTCATTTAGTTAGTGCCAGTTTAACTAAAACTCAATGTTGCATGCATGCAAAAACATAAGGTACATTACATGTCGCAATGAATTACAATTGTTTTGGTAGTCAATATATTAAAACCCTGATTTTTATCATTTTGCTGCATTTTATGTTGCAAACTTTAAAATAAAGGAGTGTTCTGACCTTAAACATAAGAGTGTTGCAACACGCAACGTAAGTATGTTGCTTTCTTCAACAGAAATGTTGCTACAGTTAACAGATAAGTATTGCAACCTTCAAAATAAGAGTGCATGTTGCAGCCTTGAAAATAAGAGAGTTCCAACACTAACAATAAAGCAAGCAACATTCAATCTAAGAATGTTGCCATCTTTAACTATAGAGTGTTGCGGCATCAAAACAAGAGAGTTGCAACATTCAAAATAAGTGAGCTGTGACCTTCTACATAGTAGTGTTGCCACATTGAGCAAATGAGTGATGCAACATTCAATTTACATAATAGTACTGTGATATTAAACAACTTCAATCTTACTTGGGCAGTTTAATTCATCCTCTCCGTTAGAGCAGTCGTAGTCACCATCGCAAACCCAGTATGGATCCAAAATGCATTCAAAGTCAGACTCACATTCAAAGCAGGGATAGATGGTAGCTATAATAACAGTAAGAAAAAAAATATATAGATAAAAAGGTAAAATACAATGCAATTTAACAGTTAATGCCAGTTTAAAGGTAAAGACCAGTATTGGAAACGCCCCAATTTCAAAAAAATGAAATGGAAGCTCTTATTACCAATCATGTGAAAGAATATGTTTTGACTAATACATGATGATAACAAATTTGCCGGGAAACCGCCTACTAATTGATATATTTGGTAAATTAATTTATCAATGGTCTGTGAGAGCCTAAACGCACGTGTCGCACAGCTGTGCGTATAGTCCCATATAAATCTTTCTGTGTACAGTGCTTGTAACTTTACGAAGACTGGGCCAAATTTCTTATCATTTTGTTGATTCCAGAACCTTGCAGTACACACCAATACTTATATGCTAGATGATCAACCTTTTCTGATCGATTCCACAACGTTTCTTTCACAATGCAATCGCACGACCATAACTGGTCTTTACCTTTAACTTTAAGTCACAAGTGCATGCATGCAAAAACAAAAAGTGCATACCGGCCGGCCGGTAAATGTTGCAATGAATAACAATTGCTTTGGTAATCAATATATCAAAACCCTAATTTTTATTTTAAACAGCTACATCCTAAAAATATGGCGAAGTAGGCTCTCTTTATTGTACTTGCAATACAATATTATTTGGCCTACAGCAATGCTTTCTATATCAAATGAAACATTATTTTACTCTCTATGTTATGATAATGCTTCATAGTAGAGAAATTAATTTCTCTTTAATGAAATTTACCCATAATAAAGAACAAAATATGAAGCACAATGTGAATATATCACTTTGTCTAGTTGCAGCAATTCTTTGATTTTGTTTTGCTTTGGTCGTTTCTTAAGCAATTTACAGCATATGAATTTGTCTAAAATTGTCAACTCACGAACGCAGTTGAGTTCATCTTGTCCATTGTAACAGTCTTCATCACGATCACAAACCCAAGCCTCAGGAACACAAGGCCAATCTGAATCACACTGGACACATGGAAGAGGTGTACCTGTATCAAAATACATTAGCTCATATCAATAAAATGGAAAAGGTTATAGACCTATAGGCCTTGTCTGGTTAAGAGTTGCGACTGAAATCAATAACTCGATCTTTACTGTTATACTATGACAAGATGGACACACAAAATGAATCCAGTCAGGATATTCATTTTTTTTGAGAACCTGTATTTATGGACTTGTGCAAAATGTGAAGTACGTATGGGACTGTAAACACACATATGCAAGCTCAAGAGTTTTTCATCTATTCCTTGTGATAAATACGAGGGTGTTTCAAGAACTATGCTTTTCATGGGACCTTTCTACTAGTCTTTCAAATTGATATAAAAAGAATTAAAAGTTTACAAATTATCATTCATCTTTACAAATCTTTACAAAATTTCACAGGGTTGAAATTCACTTTGTTTCTAAACTCACCATCACAATCTAATTCGTCAGTGCCATTGAAGCAATCAATCTTGCCGTCACAGACAGAGTCAAAATCAATGCAGTTATCAAAGGAAGGATGCGTTTGGCACTCAAAGCAAGTCCCTGTCGCAAGAGAAATGATTCGATAAGTTATCAAGTAAAGTATATAACATGTCAATTCTTGAAAATAAGGATGAGGGGCTTCATATTGTACAATGACACTCAAGGATCTAGCTGGAACTATTTACATCGAAGGAACATCAAAAGTACTAATGATGTTCCTGAGTGTGAATAGTTTTAGCTTGTTCCGAGAATGAATCATTGTATATTTGTTTTATATCCCTTCAATCTATACCTCCTGTTCATCTAAGCATGAACACATACCACACAAAAATTATACCAAATGATTTGGGATAAAACGCTCTTTATTAGATGGATAATAATTTACTGTTCATAGATGATTTTTAAGATGATTAGCAATTTTCTAGTTGTAAACTTTTTTTTGACTCACACAGTACAGGTACTGCATTATTGCAGTGCAGTTATAGCTCAGCGTAAATTGCATGACTTGAGCGCCGTGACACCGCGGGAGTCGCCTGTCCGGAGGCATTTGAAATCCTGTACGCTCGCTAAATTTTGCCAGGGAAAAAGTGAACTATTCGTGACGTCAGCAATAAAAATGAAATATTCCGATGTAATCGGCAGGAAACGTAGTTTATAGAAAAACTATTCTTTTTCTTGTTGTGTTCAATCCTAATGCAACAATCTTACGATAAGGGATATAATATCTGTTATATACCTCATTTTAAGATTCTTTACTAATCCTGTCTTCTGATTGGTTGAAAATGCAGTCATGTTCTTAACCATGCCCGCTAATTGAAATTCATAGTCATTTTTCCCGGCTCTACCGGTTTATATCCATTTTTCATAGCACTTTTTCCATGGCTGTGAAACGTGACGTCATTTTGCTGCGATCCCCAACCATGCCCGCTAATTGAAATTCATAGTCATTTTTCCCGGCTCTACCGGTTTATATCCATTTTTCATAGCACTTTTTCCATGGCTGTGAAACGTGACGTCATTTTGCTGCGATCCCCATTTTGGTTTACGTGTTACCGTATAAGTTTCTTTTGTGCGATGAGATGAGTCAACATTTTCCTTTTTTCCGGTATATAAAATATATATTGACTGCTTTTAATATTCGAGGCATAGTTGTTTCTATAGGGTCTCGGGAAACTCACAACCTGCTATGACCCTATAGAAACCACTATGCCTCTCAAAGCAGTCAATATATCCTTAATATTTGATATTTCCCTCCAAATATAAATATCACTTGAATAAGAGCAAACTTGAACACAATGTCCTGTGAATTAAATTATTTTGTCTTGGCACTAGAAGCTAAAATTAAGTTGAAATATCAACATGTTAATTATTATTCATTGTCTCACTAAATAGAGTACATACATTTTGATTAATCATTTTTATTGGTAGTCACTAGGTATATAAAATTCCTACTGTTTTATAATTTTGCTGCATTCTACATTGCAAACTTGAAAATATGAGTGTTGTGACCTTAGACATAACAGTGTTGCAACACTCAACGTAAGAATGGCGCCATCTTCAACAGAAACATTGCACCATTTAACAGATGAGAATTTGCAGCCTTGAAAATAAGAGAGTTCCAACATAAATAAATCATTAAAGCAAGCTACAATATTTCACAAAGAATTGAAGCAACATTCAACCTAAAAACATTGTTGCCATCTTCCACAGAAAAGTGTTGCAACTTCAGAACAACAGAAATGCAACATTCTAAATAAGTGAGCTGTGACCTTCTACATAATAGTGTTGCCACATTGAGCAAAAGAATGACGCAACATTTAATTTACATGATAGTACTGTGATATTAAACAACTTCTTACCTGTGCAGTTCATCTCATCCTCTCCGTTATTGCAATCACTCCATCCATCGCAAATCCATTCTGGATCTTTGACACACCGAAAGACAGACTCACAATCATAGCAGGTGGAGTTTGCTGGAGGGGTTGCTGGAATAAAGTTTTACAAAAAGATAACATACAACGCACTTTATACAGTTAATGCCAGTTTAACTAAAAGTCACAAGTGCATGCATGCATGCAAAAAATCAAAGTACATACATGTCGCAATGAATTACAGTTGTTTCTGTAGTTGATATACAAAAACCCTGATTTTTAAAATTTTACGTTGCAAACTAGGAAAATAGGAGTGTTGACACCCTCAAAGCACGAATGTTGTCATCTTTAACAGAAATGTTGGGACATTTAACAGATGAGTATTGCATTATTAAACCGAAGAGTGCATGTTGCAGCCTTGAAAATAAAAGAGTTCCAACATTAAAAATTAAACAAGCTAAAATCTTTTAGAAAGGAGTGAAGCAACATTCAACCTAACAATGCTGCCTTCATCCACAGAAAAGTTGCGAGCTGCATATTGATATCCCCCTTGAAACAATCAAACATTTTGTACATTGTAATCATTAGGGCATCAACTGCTGCAGTGCCAGGGCTTGATTCCATTACCTTCGCATCTAAAGTCAAATGTTTAAACCACTCCTCATCATCCTTTTTCAGCCCAAGCTCGCAAAATCATGAATCAGATGTATGTCGCAATCAGTTACATTCTTTCCGTGGTTATATTATCACAACCATGATTTTGTTATATGATTGCTGTATTCTATGTTGCAAACTTGAAAATAGAAGAGTTTTGCACCACTCTTACCTTATCCTTTTATTGAGTAAAGATTGGTAAAAATATCAAAGAAAATCTGAGAAAATGTCTGTTTATCACTGCAGGAAAATGACTGAAATTTTCGATCAGTTGGGAATCGCAGACAAAAAGCACTGTATGGTGTCCACGCTTGCTCAAAGAACATTTTAACATGTAAACCAATGGGTATCGCAGCAAAATTTTATTAGTTTCGCGATAACAGGAATTTTGAGGAATTTTACTCTTGGATATTAACCGATTTGGGCATTTTTTGTTTCTTTACGGGAATGGCGAAAATCACTCCAATTTCAATCAATCAGATGGCTGAATTTCTTACGTGAGGTATATACTGAATTAAAATCATAGTGGCTTAAAGGAGAAAACATATTCCCACTATCAACAGCTTTTATAACATACCAGGTATTAGACACAGGCAATTATTGAGCAAAACTAGATGGAACTTCGACTGCACGTACTCGAAAATAATGCCTACGTCATAGAGCAATTTAACAAAAATGAAACCAAAACAGAAGAAATTTTTCAAATTCAAGTTCAATTGTAATCCATTAACAGGTTCTCAGAATATCGTGATTACAAGCAATTTTTTTATATATATATATATATATGACCCTTTGATCTTTGACCTCATAACCCTAAAATCTACTCAGTTCATTGGCTCTGCAAGATGTCCTGAGTTAAATAGTAATCCATCTGTCAGTTCTAATGAGAATGCGTTCACAAGCTATTTTTGCATACATAATGAGCCCATGACCCTTGACCTTATGACCCAAGAATCTACTCAGTTCATTGGCTCTGCAAGATACATACATTATCTAAGTTTGGCAGGAATCCATCAATCTGTTCTAATGATAATGCGATCACAAGTTATTTTTGCATACATAATGAGCCCTGTGACCTTTGACCTTTGACCTCGTGATCCCAAAATCTGATCAGTTCATCGACTCTGCAAGATACATACATGACCAAAGGTTGGCAGGAATCCATCAATCGGTTCTTGAGATAACGCGATCACGAGAACGGGACGTACGAAAGGACGGTTGACGGACTTACGGACGGACGGACAACCGAAAACATAATGCCTCCGGCTTCTTCATAACGGAGGCATAAAAAATGTCTGTGGGGTGGGTTATTCTGATTAACTTTGGTGAGTGGGCAATTATTTTCCATGATCTTATTCTATAACTTAAGTATTGTACTGTTTATAATAATATTGTCAATGAATATCCGTACTGCAATCGGTTTCATCCTCCTGGCTGAGTTCACACTGCACCACACCATCGCAGATCTCACTCTCTTGATAACAATTGTTGGAGTAGGTACATGGGATATCATCTTCTCTCGGACATTCTGGAAATGAAGGGAGTAAAAAGAAAATCTTAAAGCCACACTTTCCTACTTGTACCTACTTGCTCCCTCTATATAGAAAACTTCCCCAATCGGTGCCTGTTGGTGCACCATGATCCTCTTTTTCTTATGCTAATTGAGAGCTGAGTTAATGAGATAGCCACCTGTCACAGTGACCTCCTTGGCTAGCTGGGTGGTCTAATCCCTTCTGGTTGAACTAGTACAGCCAGCCTTTAAATATGACAGGCCATTCCTGCCACTGGTTGCTCTCTTCTTTGGAATACTCATCAACGCCCTGTGATGAACCAAACGAGGAGTTTCCCTTTTCTTAAAATAATTCCTGTCCTGAAAAAGTTATATGCCACACAAATAACCTCACTGTGCCACACTCTATCATGGGATAGATATACCAAAGGCATCAAGATTTATAATGAATATTGAATATTGAATAATCTATACTGCTGTTAAAAGGGTTAACATGGAGCTAATCAAGACTGGAAATGGGCGTGTTGCAAAGCCATTGTTACATGAAGCAGTCCGGGCCTGTCAATTGATGCCTACAGTTTTGTGCAAATTTGCATGTGTCGCAAATAAAAGATCGTGCTGAAAGACCAGCGAAGAAAGCAGCTGAAGCATTAATGTACTTACGGAATGAACTCAGTCTCAGGGACATGTTGACGTTTCCTCCTGGCGCTCTCTCAAGTAAGATATATGCCTCGTTCCCAGGTGTTGCTCCGCGGAATGGCACAGTACTATTCCATATGAAATAACGGGAGAAACCCAACAGTAAGCCATCGTCGTAGAATGCCTGAAAAGAAACCATTTGACTGTCAATAGAGGGAAAACATGTTACTGAAGTCACACCTGCTTTAGGGACCACCGGTCTACAAAGACAATATTTCCCTTGAAAATGGTTTCTTGTTGAAACATGTACTAAAGGAACCTGTACATAAAGACTACCCGCTTTAAATATAAAGACCACTTTTTGTGTCTCCCTTGGGTGGTCTTTATAAACAGGTTTCACTGTACTACTGTTAGTAGTCAAAGATTAATCTTTACCAGTGTTAAAATGGTTGAAAGGGAGCTACATGTATAAATCAGGGCCACAAATAGGTTACTTTCCAAAGTCATAATCAGGGGTGATAGTGAGTACTAAAAAAAATATTTAAAAAATTAAATTCTTTCTCAACTGCCCCCCTCCCCCCCCCCCCCCTTAAGTAAAAAAAAAAAAAAAAGGCATCCAACAACATTCCCCTTTTTGAGTGAAAATTGGGAAAAAATAAGGAAATATCTGGAAAATTGGGAAAAAAAAGAAAAGAAACAGATTTAAATCAGGTAATTACCAGGCCTGCATAATGTTCTACAAAGCAGTCCTTCCCTCAATTGCTGCCTATTGTTCTGTACAAAAATGTGAATGTGGCAAATGAGCATTCAAGCAGAGAATTAAGACAAGAGAAGTGTTAGCGTTTACCTGGACAGGGTCATGCCCAGTGCCAATAGTCAAGGATGAATCGTCACCATCAAAGACCACCTTTATGATCTCAATCAGCAAATGTGAGTTTGGTGGACTCGATGCACGGTAAAGAAGATAGTCCTTGGGCGTATCGATGTCCCGACTAGGATAGGCATCAGGGGTCATTAACCATCTATACTCATCAAATGGAACACTTATATCCTCTGCAAGAACAAGTGAAGGAGTATATAAATGATGTAGTTGAGTTCTGGTCATGCATTTCATTGAGAAAGATGTGCTGCTTAGAACCAAAATGGAAAGATTTAATTCAACATTAATTAAAGTTTGATAATAGAATTTATGAAATAAATTATTAAAAAAAATAAAGGTGTTAATGAAGTATGAAGAAATAAAGTACAATTATTGAGTGCCTTGAAGGGCACAGGTTAGACTATTGACCAAGGTGATCTTAAAACTGTACTTTCTCTGGAGACAAAGAGGAGTGGTAGGGGTGAGGAGTGGAACAGAAAGGGGAAGAGGAAAGGGGAGAGGAAAGGGGGTGGGGTGGGGGAGGGGAGGTGGGGAAGGTGGGGGGGGGGGGGAGCTTTAAATCACCTGATATTTGTGAGACCATACAAAGTTCTTCTGTTTCGTCTGATCCTGAAGCTCTGCAGTGTGGTATAAAGTCACACAGCAGTGTCTCTTCAATACATGTTGAGTCTGGCTCAGGGCAGGCAAATGAAGCATCAGGACAATTCTCTGTACCAGAAAAAAAGAAAACATCATCGAATTTTATTCATATTTCATGTTAATTACTTCAATAGCAAATTTACATCTGGTCACATTTAAGCTACCAGTCACAGCTAGGTGCCAGTAAAATACTTACATAATTCACTGAGTGAATTACATTTTTAGTACAAAGCAAAATGACAGATTTGAAGCAAAATTGATTTAAATAACTGTTATATCATTTTGAGTATATTCATTTACTTCACCATCTGCAAACGTTCCAGAGTACTCTTCAAAAAGATTCCAGACAGTTCTTTCACAGTGCAATTATACATATCAAGGACACAACTTTATCTTTAAAGAACATTGTCTTCTCTCTATCCACACAAATGTTTTGACTTACGACAATCAAGTTCATCTGATTCATCAAGGCAATCAGCACTTCCATCACAAACCCAGGAAGAAGGCAAACAGGTATCTTCAGCCCAGGCAGTAGTACAGTTATGGCAAAGATCGGGAGTACCGGTAGGCGATGCTACAAAGATGGAAGAAAATATAAATCAAATCAAACCAAAGAAAAATCATATCATATAAAGTTATGTTCTTGAGTATTAAAGGTGTTTTACTTTAATATGCTCCACTCCACCCAGATGGTACCTAGTAGAATACAAGAGGCAATCTGCAAACTTGAGAATAGGAGTGTTTCAACCTTAAAATACGAGTGTTGCAATATATAACCTAAGAATATTGCCATCTTCAACAGTAGATTACTGCAACATTCAACATAAGAGTGATGCAACATTCAATCTACAGAATACTATCCTGACTTTAAACAACTTCAGTCTTACATCAAATTTAAGCCAGTAACACGGCAACAAGCTGGATTGCTGCAAAAGTGATTGGAAGGTGGTGCAACCTAAAGTGTAGAATCGTGATTGAATCCAGTGACCGGGGAAATAATAGCAATGTCATGGGTTGGAGCCCCAGCTTAAGTTGGCACTGGTGTCCTTTGGCAAGATATTATTCTACATTAGCCATTCTCCAACCAGGGGTCTGTTTCATAAAGCTGTTCGTAAAGTTACGCATGACTTTACAAACGACTTATGTAAGAAGTGCCAGATAGGATGCCCAAAGTTTTTCCTGATGTTTTCATAAAGTGTGACTATATTACCAATAACCTCAATTAAATTATGGCAAAAAGTATACTTTGTATTAAAAATGTTTGTTATAATAATCTAGTCTGCATAGTTCAACTTTAGTTGATGCAGTTAAAAAATGATTGAGCATCCCATTTGGCTTTTCATATATAAGTCATTCGTAAAGTCATGCGTAACTTTACGAACATCTTGATGAAACGCCCCCAGGCCTTAAATGGGTAAAAGTAGTAAGAAATCCCATGCATGCCGAGGGCACAGCGTTGACAGTTTAGCTAATACCGGGGTTATAATAAACCACATTGAGCACTTGCGTGGTGGATATACATGTTTGCGCTCAATGGCGGCTGGCTGGAATGCTCCCCAGGGATTGGGAAATGTGCATACATTGTGTGTGGGTAAGCCTGAATCCGATGAACGGGGTAATAATATATCTGTAAAGCGCTTAGGCACATCGTTGGATCGATGTATTGAGCGCTATATAAACACAGAATATTATTATTCTTATTATTATTAACAAATATCAAATCAAAGAATAGTGAAGCAATACACGAATTTGCATCTAAATACAATCACAATATTCATAACCATGGCCCAGTGTTTCATAAAACTTGTTATCAATAACAAGTTAAAAAAGGTACAAGAACTGTTACGAGCTTTCATGAGCTATACTATGCTGTCATAAGCAAAACGTTTTATGAAACAGGACCCAGGACAATGAGGCTTTCTGGGTTCAAGGCAGGTTGTGCAAATTAATCATACAATACCCCAAAAATAGAAATTAAAAAAGTGCAATAATGGAATTGAAATCATAGTCACTTACAGGTAAAGCAAAGTTTTGGGAAATTTTGAAAATTGGATGGATAGTAATTCTTGAGAATTTTGATATATTTGGATGCCTCTGTGGAAAAATTATTAGCACTAGAAAATATATCCCCTAAAACACTTCTGCTTTTGAGATATTGAATAATCAAAAATGTACTTGTGCTCCCAGTAAGTATCAAATATCAAATATTTCAAATAGCACCCAAGGCCATTCCATGGTAACTGCGACCATGAAAATCTCAGAATATGCAGTTTTGATATATGATTTCTAAACAGGAAAAGCAAATTGGTCGATTGTAGTCAAGAAACATAGTTTTAAGGTTAAAGTAATATTAGTCTTGAGAGGGAGCTATACAACATAAAGAGTTTATTCAACTACAACAACAATCATGGAATATCGTAGAATCGCATATGCTTCCAATATTGTTCTTTCAAACCAAATTCATGACCCCATACCAACACTTTGTTTTACCTTTAAAAGAGAAAACATATTACCACTATTAACAGCTTTTATAACATACTCGAGTATTAGGCACAGGCAATTATTTAGCAATAAGGGAAATTACCTGTCTTGCCACCTTCAAAAGATCCCTCAAAACTCACCTTTTCCCCAATGATCTATGTGATATACTTCCTTTACTGTACATTTTTGTCCTCTTTTCATATATTTGTATTTGTAAGCACTATGGTACAATATTGTTTTTAGCGCTCCTAAATATTCAATATTATTATTATTATTATTTTAACAAAATCTGTGGGGTGGGTTATTCTGATTAACTTTGGTGAGTGGGCAATTGATTTCCATGTTCTTATTCTATAATATAAGGTATTGTACTTTTTGTAATAATATTATCAATGAATATCCTTACTGCAATCGGTTTCATCCTCCTGGCTGAGTTCACACTGCACCACACCATCGCAGATCTCACTCTCTTGATAACAATTGTTGGAGTAGGTACATGGGATATCATCTTCTCTCGGACATTCTGGAAAGAAAGGGGGTAAAAAGAAGACCTTGCTCAATTTATACTATAATATTCTTCCAAATTGACACCAAAATAATAAGCTCAAAAATCACAAGAACTTCACCTGTTCACTCCCGATTCTTTCCTACCCATAAGCATCATCTAACAAATAATCAATGTCAGTTAGAATATATAAAATCAACCTTAAAAATCTTTACCTGGCATGCTATATGTTAACAGATTAGGAGCATGAAGAGAAAAAAGACCCAAATAAATCCCTGTGTACGAAACCCTAATCTGACTTGTGTTCCCTACCCGACTTGGCACCAATGTCCTGTGGCAAGGCGTTAATCTTCATTTGCCACTCCACACCAAGGAGACAAATGGGGACCAGGGGAGTGTTTCACAAAGACTAAGATCGACTTGAAGTTGGACTTAAAGCCAGCCAACTGTGACTGTGTGTGAGCTGAGCTGAGCTGAGCTATTATAGAGTAGACTCCACAACACTTTGAAATTGCTCTTATTGCACCGAGTTCAATATAGTTTTGTTACTATAGAGGTATGAAACCTGAGCTTAGATTGTGATTATTCTGGCCATGTATAGTTGTATGCTGAATTTCGATAATAATTTTTCAAAGTAAAGTTTTCACAAGAAAATCAGACGGCCGTTTAAAAACATAGCCTAGCTCATTAGCTGGATAGAATACTTTTACTATGATACAGTTCTTGCATCATATCAATACATTAAAACGGGTATTACGCTGCGCCATTCATGGTCAAACAACGTATATTATAAAAATCGTCTATACCCTATATAAAAATAATCGAATTTTATTTTCGATAGCATATAGGCCTCTTTCTATGTACCCCCCCCCCCCCTTTCCCCCTAGAATCCCATGGATTTTCCACGGGTCCAGCTAGTACTGGTGTTAAAAGGGTTATCATGGAGCTAATCAAGACAGTTTACCATTGTTTACACTTAGCAGTCCGGGCCTGTCAATTGATGCCTACTGTTTGCTGCAAGATTGCATGTGTGCATGGCAAATAAAAGATCGTGCTGAAAGACCAGCGAAGAAAGCAGCTGAAGCATTAATGCACTTACGGAATGAACTAAGTCTCAGGGAAATATTGACGTTTCCTCCTGGCGCTCTCTCAAGTAAGATATATGCCTCATTCCCAGGTGTTGCTCCGCGGAATGGCACAGTACTATTCCATATGAAATAACGGGAGAAACCCAACAGCAAGCCATCGTCGTAGAATGCCTGAAAAGAAACCATTTGACTGTCAATAAAGGGAAAACATGTTACTGAAGTCACTCCTGCTTTAGGGACCACCTGACTGCAAAAACAATATTTCCCTTGAAAATGGTTTCTTGTTGAAACACGTACTAAAGGAACCTGTACCCATAGGAAAGAGCCTGCCGCAAATGAGCCTGCCGCATACTCCTGCGGCAGACTTGCCGCAGATCTGCCGCAGACTGTTCTTGTGGCATACTAGTATGCAGCAAGTCTGGAGCAAAGCTTCATCCTGCCGCAGATCTGCCGCAGACTGTTCCTGTGGCATACTAGTATGTGGAAAATCTGGAGCAAAGTTTCATCCTGCCGCAGACTGTTCCTGTGGCATACTGGTATGCGGCAAGTCTGCAGCAAAATTTCATCCTGCCGCAGATCTGCCGCAGACTGTTCCTGTGGCATACTTGTATGCAGTAAGTCTGGAGCAAAGTTTCATCCTGCCGCAGATCTGCCTGCATTGCGTCATTTCATTCTAGTAGCTTGAATTAGTAGAAACAGCTAAAAATAGGCGGAGTTGCTTCAACAATTCTACAAATATGGTTTAACACAATGCAGAAGTAGATGTAGAGGAATAGGAATACAATAACTGCATATACATAGCCCAGAGTAGAGTCACAGATCCATGTGCTAGTTACAATTAGTGGGGCTGAAGATGAGATCACATATGGCACAACAAAAAAAGTATTAAACAGTCCGTTAATTCCTCAGTCTCATCTTATGTAATAAATTCCTCTTATGGTACCAGTTGAACTTGAAGCAAATTGTTTGGTTTGACAGAAGATAAAAAGACAATTAACAGTACTAATTAACACAGGAATTTACAAGATCATGGGCTCAGCCTGCAACCTCATGGCCCTGCATGGTCCTCCAAAATGGCTGCCTATAGCCTTGCTTCAGACTGTATAATTTCCCACTTTTCTGTGGCAGACCTGCCGCAGACTGTTCTTGTGGCATACTGGTATGCGGCAAGTCTGGAGCAAACTTTCGCCCTGCCGCAGATCTGCCGCAGACTGTTCTTGTGGCATACTAGTATGCAGCAAGTCTGGAGCAAAGTTTCATCCTGCTGCAGATCTGCCGCAGACTGTTCCTGTGGCATACTAGTGTGCGGTAAGTCTGGAGTAAAGTTTCATCCTGCCGCAGATCTGCCGCAGATCTGCCGCAGATCTGCCGCAGACCGTTCCTGTGGCATACTGGTATGCGGCAAGTCTGCAGCAAAATTTCTTTCCGCCGCATACTTTAGCATACTCTTTACCAGACTTAAAGTCTGCCGCAGATCTGCGGCAGGTCTGCGGCATACTTTTCACTTTCCTATGGGTACATAAAGACTACCCGCTTTAAATATAAAGACCACTTTTTGTGTCTCCCTTGGGTGGTCTTTATCAACAGGTTTCACTGTACTACTGTTAGCAATCAAAGATTAAATCTATACCAGTGTTAAAATGGTTGAAAGGGAGCTACATGTACAAATAAGGGCCACAAATAGGTTACTTCGCAAAGTCATAATTAGGGGTGATAGTGAGTACTAAAAAAATATTTAAAAAATCAAATTCTTTCTCAACTGCCCCCCCCCCCCCCCCCCCTTAAGTAAAAAAAAAAAAAATGGCATCTAACAACATTCCCCCTTTTGAGTGAAAATTGGGAAGAAATAAGGAAATATCTGGAAAATATGGATAAAATTGGGAAGAAAAAAAAATTGGGGAAAAGAAAAAAAAAGGGAAACCAATTTAAATCAGGTAATTATCAGGCCTGCATAATGTTCTACAAAGCAGTCCTTCCCTCAATTGCTGCCTATTGTTCTATGCAAAAATGGAAATGTGGCAAATGTGCATTCAAGCAGAGAATTAAGACAAGAGAAGTGTTAGCGCTTACCTGGACAGGGTCATGCCCAGTGCCAATAGTCAAGGATGAATCGTCACCATCAAAGACCACCTTTATGATCTCAATCAGCAAATGTGAGTTTGGTGGACTCGATGCACGGTAAAGAAGATAGTCCTTGGTGGTATCGATGTCCCGACTAGGATAGGCATCAGGGGTTATTAACCATCTATACTCATCGAATGGAACACTTATATCCTCTGCAAGAACAGGTAAAGGAGTAAATGAAATAGTTGAGTTCTGGTCATGCATTTCATTGAGAATGATATACTGCTTAGAACCAAAATGAAAAGCCTCAATTCAATTCAATCTAACATTAATTAAAGTTTAATAATAGAATTTAAAATAAATTATTACAAAATGATGGAGTTAATGAAGAATGAAGAAATAACTTACAATTATTGAGTGCCTTGAAGGGCGCGGGTTTAACTATCGACCAAGGTGATCTTAAAACTATACTTTCTCTGGAGACAAAGAGGGGGAGTTGTAGGGGTGAGGAGTGAAACAGAAAGGGGAAGAGGAAAGGGGAGAGGAAAGGGGGTGGGGTGGGGGAGGGGAGGTGGGGATGGGGAGGTGGGGATGGTGAGGGGGGGGGGGGGGGAGGAAGGCTTTAAATCACCTGATATTTGTGAGACCATACAAAGTTCTTCTGTTTCGTCTGATCCTGAAGCTCTGCAGTGTGGTATAAAGTCACACAGCAGTGTCTCTTCAATACATGTTGAGTCTGGCTCAGGGCAGGCAAATGATGTACCAGGACAAACCTCTGTACCTGAAAAAAAGAGAAAACATCATCCATTATTATTCACGTTTCATTTTATTTACTTCAATAGCAAATTTACATCTGATCCCATTTTAGCTACCAGTCACAGGTGCACGCTTGCAAAAACATAAATCAGATACATGTCACAATCAGTTACATTCTTTCGGTGGTTAACTTAACACAACCCTGATTATGTTATATGTTTGCTGTATTCTATGTTGCAAACTTGAAAATAGAAGAGTTTTAATTGCACCACTCAACGTAAGAATTTTGCCATTTTTAACACAAATGTTGCACATTTAACAGATATATGAGTATTGCAATCTTCAACCTAAAAGTGCATGTTGCAGCATTGGAAATAAAAGAGTTGCAACATGGGAAATATTAAAGAGCGTTACAACATCAAAAATTAAGCAACCTAGAATCTTTCACAGAGGAGTGAAGCAGCATCCAACCTAAGAATTTTGCCATCTTCCACAGAAAAGTGTTGCGATATTCAACCAAAGAATGTTGCCGTCTTTAACATAACAATGTTTCCACATTCAACAAAAGATAGATGTAACATTCAATGTACATAATAGTATCGTGACTTTAAACAACTTCAATCTTACTTGTGCAGTTCATCTCATCCTCTCCGTTATCGCATTCACTGTATCCATCGCAAATCCAGTCTGGATCATTAACACATAGAAAGACAGACTCACAATCATAGCAGGTGTTGTTTGCTAGGGGGGTTGCTGGAATAAAGTGAGAAGAAAAAAAAGATCACATACAATGCACTTATATAGTTAATGCCAGTTTGACTAAAAGTCGCTAGAGTATGCATGTAAAAACATAAAGAGCATACCGGTACATGTCGCAATGAATTACATTTGTTTTGGTAGTCAATATATAAAAACCCTGATGGTTATAATTTTGCAACATGGAAAATACGAGTGTTGCAACTTTCAACCTAAGAATGTTGCCATCTTCAACAGAAGAGTGCTGCAACATACAACACCAGCTACAAGGGTTATGGCATTCAACACAGTGGTGTTGCAATGATCAACATAATAGTGCTGCCACATTCAACAAAAGAGTGATGCAGCATTAAATATACAGAATAGTATCTTGACTTTAAACAACTTCAATCTTACCTGTACAGTTCATTTCATCCTTTCCGTCATCGCAATCTTCATATCCATCGCAAACCCATCCTGGATCTTCAACACAAACATCAGATTCACAATCAAAGCAGGTTTCTGGAAAATGGGAGGAAAAAAGAAAATCACATACAATGGGATTATACATTTGATGCCAGTTTCACTATAAAAAGTCATTAGTGCATGCATGCAAAAATATAACTCACATACACGTTGCGTCAATTACCCCCCAAAATGTAGTCATTACATTAACCAAAAAAATTGAAAATAGGGGTGTTCCTACATTAAACATAAAAGTGTTGAAGCTTTCAATCAAAGAAAGTTGCAATCTTCAACATAAGAATGTTGTAGCATTCAACCTGATGGTAATGATAATAGTAATAATGATAATAATAATCTACCTATAGAGGTCATTTTCCATATACATGATCAAATGCACTTTACAATATTTTTATTAAAGGCATAGACCAGTTATGGTCATGCGATTGCATTGTGAAAGAAATGTTGTATAATTGATCAGGAAAGGTTGATCATCTAGCATATAAATATAGGCGGTTTACCGGCAAAATTTGTATCATCACGTAATAGTCAAAACATGTTCTTTCACATGATTGGTAATAAGAGCTTCCATTTCAATTTTTGAGAGGGGGGCGTTTCCAAAACTGGTCTATACTTTTAACAGAAGAGGTGAGTTTTTAGATATTTTTTGAAGGTATGTAGAGATTTCGGGTTGCGAAGACAACTGGGTAGGTTTTTCCAGTTTGGAACAGCAGCTGTGAATACTCTGTCTAAGAGACGGATAGTTCAGCGTGATGCATTGAGAGAAGTGAAGGAAATTCCAGAATAGTTGACTCATAGTTATTGGCTCAGATAGGTAAGAGTAGCAAGATCGCAGATACATTTGGAGGTGAGAAGAAGTATTTTGTAATGAATCAGGGACCCGACGGGTAGCCAGTTCAATTGAAGAGGGTACAGGTATCATGTAACAGATCTTGGTTGAACCTGTGGAAAATCTAGGTGCGGCATTTTGAAATCCATGTACTTTCTCAATGTGGGTTGCAGTGCATGGCACCATAAAGTAATAATTACATTAATCCTGGCGGCTGGTGATGAAGGCATGGGTAAGGGTGAGTAATCACCACTGGTCCAGATACTTGCAAAATCGACGGCTATTGTAGATGAAAGGAGGCTTGCCATCTTCAACAGGAGAATGTTGCAACGTACATTCAACAGATGATTATTGCAACCTTAGTATTGCAACATTCAACCTAAGAATGTTGCCATCTTCAACATAAGAGTGTTGCAACATTAAAATTAAAGAGAGTTGCAACTCTCAAGATAAGTGAGCTGTGACCTTCTACATAATAGTCTTGCCACATTGAGCAAAAGAGTGATGCAACATTCAATAGTATTTAGACATTAAACGTCTTACTTGTGCAGTTTACTTCATCCTCTCCGTTATAGCAATCAGCAACATCATCGCAAACCCAGTATGGATCCAAAATACATAGAAAGTCAGACTCACATTCAAAGCAGGGATAGATGGTAGCTGGAATAACAGGAAAAAAAAATTGAATACAATGCCATCATGCAGTCAGCTAATGCCAGTTTAACAACAAATGCCAGTTTAACTAATAGTCACTAGTGCATGGGAGGGGGGGGGGGGGTTGGAATAAGGAAAACACAAAAGATTACATACAATGCAATTTTATAGTTAATGCCAGTTTAACTAAAAGTCACTATAGTGCATGCAGGCAAACGTACATACGTGTTGCAATTAATTACCATTGTTTTGGTAGTCAATATATAAAAACCCTATTCAACGTTGCAACATGGAAAATAAGAGTGTTGCAAACTTAACATGAGACAGTTTCAACTTTCAACCTAAGAATGTGGCCATCTTCAACAGAAGATTGCTGCAAAAATTCAACACAAGAGGGTTATGGCATTCAACACAGGGGTGTTGCAATGATCAATCTACAGAATAGTACCGTTTTTTTTTACTTTAAACAACTTTAATCATACCTGGGCAGTTATATTCATCCTCTCCCATATTGCAATCTTTTATACCATCGCAAATCCATTCCGGATCTTTAACACAATCATAGCCAAGATTATCAGAAGCGCATTCAAAGCAGGTTTCTGGAAAAAGGGAGGAAAAAAGAAAGTCTCATACAATGCAATTATACCTTTGGTGCCAGTTTCACTAATAGTTTCACCGGTAGTCACTAGTGCATGCATGCATGCAAAAAAAAAAATTACATACACTTTGCATAAATTACCAAAAATAATTAGTCAATATAAAAATTATATAAAAACATATTTTAAAAAAAAAATATTTCCTGCAATCTACGTTCCAACCTTGAAAATAGGAGTGTTCTGACATTAAACATACATCTAAGGTAGTACTGAACAGGACCAATTGGTATACACGTCCAGACTTCTGTGGCATTGCAAATTGTCATAAATCATGACAACTGAGGACGCAGAGTTGAAAAATCAGATAAAAAAGGTGCTCATAAAACTACAGTGGGTTGCAGACAGTGGGTTGCTATATGAACATCGACGTTATAGCCCGTCTGTGTATGACTGTGCTGAGTGTTCATTCTGCATGTAGCTCCAAGCTTTGGTATTGAAAGAATTGGCTGATGTTGACTCTTTGATGATGGTGGCTGGTAGTTGAATCCATTGCTTAACCCTTACTGTACTGGGGGGGGGGGGGGCTGGGAGGCCCCCCACCCCCCTCGACATTTTCGGAGATTGCGCCGCAACCGCTTGGAATTTTGAATTGTCGTTTCATGTCTTTTTTCCCTCAAGTCTTACGCACATTTTGTTACCATTTTTGAAGAAAACAGATATACGTGTAAGGTGTTACATGACAATTAGTATGTGCATGTCATCAAAAAGTGTTATAATTGCATATATACATGTACAAGCAAAAATGTCAATACAGGTTAAGATGTATTTCTTCCTAAGTGGGAGATATGAATTGATATCAAATTGTTTTTATGTTTCTCAAAGTAACTTGATGTATTCCAGAACAAAAGAATACATTAGAAATAAAAAAATAGATATAATAAGAAATACAAAACAATAAAATACATAAGAAAATAAATATTTGAAAATCGCATAAAATTTGCATAAATTATCATTATTAATTACATCAAAATAACTATTTTGTGTTAGAAAAGAAGTTTCATATATGAATAACGAGTTTCAACGTTAAAAAAAAGATTCTGACAATTTTTTTAATGATTCTAGTTCCCTGTATACATGGTGTATATCCAGATTTTATATTCATGAATGTGTAATTTGCGTATTCATAATTTATGCAAATTAACCTATGCATTTTCAAATATCATAAAAATAATGACACCTCATTCATTACATTTTCAATATTCTTCACAAGTTTACAGACAAATATGTAGAGTTTTCTGTAAAATGCATAAAATTTACATTTTGCATAATTAATTAGGCTATAACGACAAAAATGTGCATATTAGGAAAAAAGTAATTATACCATCTTGTTCCTTACGTAAATATCTACAAACATGCAAATTTACGTGTTCATCAGACATTCGACGGCCGAGATCATAAGGGGGCCTCCCCCCCCCCCCCCCCCCCCCCCAGTAAGTGAGGTGCTCAATATAGCCCAGTACAGTAAGGGTTTTATAATAGTACAAGTATAGAAGCTGTTCTTGTATGCTTCGGTCCTCGCAGAGTAGTTGATGTACAGATTCAGTCTTTGACTACGGGTGACTGGTCTGTTGGGGTTGTTGGCGACTGGGATAAACTTCTCTGGGACGGTAGTGTTCCAACATTCAACAAGTGAGTATTGCGACCTTTAACATATGAGTGTTGCAACATTCTTAGGTTGAATGCTGCAACACTCTCATGCTGAAGTTAGACACACATTCAAAGCAGGAGGGTACTTCGGGTGGGGGGGGGGGGGATGCTGGGATAAGGAACAAAAAGATTGCATACAATGTAATAATGGCCTGCATACAATATATGCACCATCTCCACTCCCTTTATGAATCTTTACATTCAAACAACATTGAAATATAAATAAATCATAATATCGTGTTCGAGAATGGGACTTACGACAGTCGTTTTCATCCGAGTTGTCCAGACAATCTTGAGTGCCGTCACAAACCCAGTTAGATGGCAGGCATGTGTTCTCTGCCCAAGCGGTTGTACAGTTGTGACAATCGTCAGGTGTTGCTATGGTGAAAGGTGAAAGGTTAAAGGTTAAAGGACAAAGAAACGTTACTTGGGTGTAGCCAGTCATAGTAAACAAATATACCATGCACTGAGAGGCTCTAGTTGAAATTATGGATCGAGGTGGCAGGAATAGCACTATTTTCTGAGGGGCTTAGACCCGAAGAAAATAGTGCTATTTATGTCGCCGAGGAATCCATGATTTTACTAGTGGCTTGAAATAGTGCATGATATATTTGTTTAATATTTTTCAGCGACCGATAGCACATTGATCTTGATTGATCGCATGACGTCATCCATGGCATAGTGCCATGGTATAGTGCACTATACCATGGATGACGTCATGGTTACATCATAGCAATGTTATGTTTGGTCACATGATGCTATGTTGACCAATCACTGAACAGGATTTCATTGATCAAAAATATAATAGTAATTATGGTGGCTTCTTATACAGCTTTCCTGTCTGTAATACAGGGACATTCCTGGTGCTCCAACATTATAATAGCTTGTTATTCCTACAGCGAAATTTAGAGCTGAAATATTGTATAACCCTAGCTGTTGCAACTATGAGAAGGCGCTAAAGCATTCAAGGGGATTCTTTCTACAGGGTATTTATTTATTTCACCCAAGCGGTGAAGGAAGATGTCATTTAAGACTCACTTCTGCAAGGATTTTCAAAACAAATGTTCAGTCGAATATTGATGAAATAATACAAAATTTAGGTTTTCTGCGTGCAATAGAAAACTCAAATTATGTATTCTTTTATCAATATTTGTCTTCACTTTTTTTTTGTGGGGGGGGGGGGGGGGAATCTTTGCAGAAGTGTGTCTTAAATGACATCTTCTTTCACATTATGATACAATTTAAGTGAAATTTTGCCATCAAATTACTGGCAAAATCAGGGCTCCAAACAATTTAGAGGGGCTTCAAATATAAAGTTGCGTTCTGGTCATGCGATTTCATTGTCAAAGAAAAGGTGTGGAATCTATCAGAAAAATTGATCATGTAGCATATAAGTATTGGTGTGTATATTTATACTGCAAGGTTCTGGAATCATTAAAATGATAAGAAATTTGGCCCAGTCTTGGTAAAAGTAACAAGCACTGTACACAGAAAGATGGTCATGGGACTTACATACACAAACAAATGGCATAAAAATGTGGTCCTCATATCTAAGCTGTTAGTACATGTCATATTTAGATTATGAAGGAATTTGAAGCGATAGCAAGTGAATTGGGGATGTTCTTATTTTGTAAAAGTCTCTCACTCTTGTCAAACCCTTGTCAACAATAGGAATACTTGGTATTTTAATCAACATGCATTACATTCGCACCGCTGTCCAAAATTGATCAACCTTCTTGCTCTATGCATGTACATGTACAGTACTCGGCTGTATGTGGTGCGATGAGCTGCTCAAACTTGTGTGTGCATACGCGTACCGAGTACTGAAAGTTTGTGAATACATCATGCCCATTCATTAATTCTGATGGGTGCTAGCTAATCCTGAGGTACCACAGAGGTCTCATTCGCGAAAGCAATGTCTTGCGAAAATGTCGCTTAGCCTGTTGTTCACGAAAATGTCTGTACGTGAAAATATCAGCTTATACTAGCTTCATACCCCACAGTATAGTTTTGATGAAATATCGACTGAAGCACGTAACTGGAGTGAAATTAATGTCACAGTGCCTGATTCTAATGATAATAATATGCATGCTTACAACATCCATCTTCGTCGTCTCCATCCGGACACTGTTCTATGTCATCACAGGCTTCACTGGGCAGGTAACATTGAGCAGAGCGCTTACATGCTATAGCCCCCTCAGGTAAACATTCTGGTGAAGAAAAAAAAAAAACAGTTTTAAAGATAAAGGTGAGTTTTGGTAATGTGATTGCATTGTGAAAGAAAAGGTGTGGAATGGATCAGAAACAGTTGATCATGTAGCATGTAAATTAGGTGTGCACTGAAAGGTTCTTGAGTCATCAAAATCATCATAAATTTGGCCGAGTCTTGGTAAAGTAACAAGCACTGTACACAGAAAGCTATATATGGGACAACACACATGGTGTCGGGGCTAGTACTACCTTGATTTCCTTGTCTTTCTATGCTCATTACTCAGCCAGTATACATTTTCTTCCAAAATTGTTTGGCTCATGTCATTTATTTGTAATCTTAAACATTCAGTGTAAGTTTCGTTTGATTCTGTGAGAATTAATTTTCTTTTTTTTACCAGAACTGGAGTTTATCTTTAAAGTTAGAAAGAAAGCAGTAAGGTTGGTATGAAGGAGAATGCTTGGGACAAGAAGAGGGATGGAGTGTTTTCATCCCGCCAAAGTCAGTAATCCCTCGTAAGAGAGAAAATGCCTACTACAGTAAATGATGATGATGAGTAAAAAAAAATTCCTGAAAGAGTATACTTTCCTCTAATATGTATTTTATTGCAAAAATTTGGAAGCATTATGCCATCTTTGGGCGGATTTTCGTAGACATTTGTCTAATGCGGAGGTTGCATCAGTCTTTTTGACCTTGTCTATTACTGGAGTTGACTTTTGGACATCATATTGAATTGGATATGCCTAGTTCTTAAACCTCTTTCAAAGTAGAGGTACACTTCAGCATTCATAAAAAAAAATGTATAAGGACATTTCACCTCACCAAACCTGGACAAGAGTTAGGCCACAATATCATATCAATTCAGGCACAGTTAGTCTCCTTTGACTTTGCGTGTATGTTCAAGAGAACATGTGAAGTTTATCCACGAAAGGAGTTAAGATAATTGTACTTACGGAATGCGCTAAGTTCGATGTTAATCTCAACGTTATCTCCTGGGGCTTTCCTAAGCAATATGTAAGCCTCATTGTCTGGTGTGGTAATGGATAATACAGCGTTAATCAATATTCCATCTTCAACACTCAGCAGTGGTCCATCACTGTCGTATAGTGCCTGAAACATTATCAAAAATAAAAATAAAAAATGTTATGAATGATTTCATTTCACAAATTGTACATGTATACAGCATTCGTTTCTTGTCCAAGTAGCATGTGTTGGGATATAGAATCAGTCCATAATATCCTATAACCACCACAGATTTTGTTCCTATCTATTATTCATTTGGCAACTCATCAACAGAGATACAAACAATTGTGTTTTATGTGAATGGCATGTTATTATTTATATACGCAATCAGGTGTTACGTGTTAGTTGTTAGGTGTAAGGTGTTAAGTGTGAGATATGGGTAACATTCTTTATTATATCATATTAGGGACCAGCACCACATAAGACTTTAATGTTCTTTCTTGCCCATTTCCTCATTCGTATATACATATTTGTATTTTGTGTTTAACTTTCCTCATGTTGTTTGTATGTTTTTTACTTATCTGTAAATACCAAGTTAGAACTCGGGAGGGTTCTAGATGCTCATGCTCCTCAGAGATCACGGAAAGTGAGGAATCATGAGGACTGTCCGTGGTATACCAATGACATTCATACTCAGAAGAGGATACGTAGACAACTGGAGAGGAAATGGAGGGCCAATGGCCGACTTCAGACTGACAAAGATCTGTACTGTGCCCAGCGTGACCTCGTAAATTCACTTGTGAAAAGGGCGAAGCGCTCATACTTTGTAGATCTTATTGAAGACTGTCGGAATGATTCCAGAAAGCTCTTCTCAGTAGCAAACCGACTTCTGAATCGTCGACCGTCATCACCACTTCCAGCCCACACGGACAGCCAGTAAATGGCCTCTACATTCACCCACTTCTTCCAGACGAAAGTCAAGACCATCTGCGACAGTTTATCACCTGACGAAACACCACACCATCCCCTTACTTCCTCTTCCTTTTAAGTAATACAACCTACTACCCCTACAGAGATTATGTCACTCTTACGTAAACTACCCCCCAAATCATGTCAGTTAGACCCTGTTCCCACTAAATTATTAATGGACTGTTCCTCCACATTCGCTCCCATCCTTTCTTACTTGATTAACTTGAGTTTAGAGCAGGCACATGTTCCTTCCTCATTGAAAATAGCTCATGTTACTCCGTTGTTGAAGAAACCTTCTCTGGACCGAAATTCCCTCCAAAATTATCGACCAGTTTCAAACTTACCTCTCTTCTCACTTAACATGGGGGTAGTAATATATCCAGGAATCTAATTGATTTATCACCAAATTTAATCACACACTCGTACGTAGGGATAGAAATAATATGCTTGAATATATTCATATTCGTATGATTATGGGTATTAATTTGAGGGTTCAGTGACACAAAGACGTAACTCCATATTTTGCCAAAATGAGTATTTCATATCAAAATGTTCAGAAAAATGTGGGCTTTCCAAGAAACACAAAGACTTAACTCTACCCAATAACTCATTGAAGTCATTTGCTAGTGAAACATAGACTTAACTCCTTAAGGCCCAATTGCTCAGTGACACATAAACCACTTTTTCTAAAAAATGGCCAAAAAGGAGTTACGTTTTTTTGTCACTGACCCCTCAAATTTCTCCCTCACAAATGTTTCCTCACCTGCACAGGGTCATGCCCGCGTCCTATCAATAGGGAAGAATCATTGCCGGCGAACTCCACAAAAACAAGGTTGATGAGAATGTGTGAGGTTGTCGCAGATGAACCGGTCACCGATAGCTGATAGAGGATGTAGTCCAGCGGCGTCTCTACGCTACCGTCTCTCTCCGGGTAGGTAGCAGGCGTCGTCCATGTGCTGTCCCTTCTGAGAGACACAACCTGTTCCACTGAAAGAAAACAGATTATGATTTTAAAACATGATAATGCTATAAGATGACAACTTGTCAGTGGGAGCTGCGTGGTTCCTATGTTAACCAATCGACTACGGTCTTCCTATGGGCTTAACACAGTCCCCATCTGGGCTGGTTCCCGCACACAATGGCCCAAGTTCAACAAACCGAGGTTTACGTGCGTCATATGACACGTTTCAACCTGTTTTTACAAACCAACGCGTCATATGACGCACATAAACCTAGGTTTGTTGACAAACCTCCTTTGTGAATTTGGGCCATTGAGTTATGCCCAAAGAAGCAGCATCATGTTTTTGTTTTTTTGTAATCCAGAAATAGATTAAAATTGGTACAAGACATAAAAAATTAGTGAATTATTAATAATAATTACGGTATATTCATATCCAGAATTTTTTTTTTGTAATGAAAGGAGACATAACAAATTAATGATAACCATTGCTTTTCATACCAGCCTAATTAAATATCTGATGTAATAAAGCCCAAATGAAATGTTGAAGGACCAATACCTGTGATGGATAACCTTTTGATAGATGAACTTAGATTCACCCATTGCTAGTATAGAGCAGAGATATGTATGTCAATGAAAGATATGCCTGTTCAGACTTCGTATACATCGAGCACCAAAATAGTTCCGTCCCATAGAGGTGTTGTTGTCTAGTGTAGAGGTGTGGTGGTCTAGGCGGCCGTCAGATTGTAAAACGGTCTAACTCGAAAATTTGACTTTTTTAGGTAAATTCACTTTCCGGGTAATGTGAGGGCGCTCTTTCCAATGGTGCTATCGATAAAATCCCATTATGTCTACTTTAAGAGATAATTTCCGCTATCTTGGTACTTTTTTTGTATTTTTTCTTCAGATTTGATGGTAAAACGGTCTATCTTTGAGTTACTCCATTTTCGGTAATATCGTTTGGAGGTAAAACGAGCTATCTTTTACATGAACCTTTTAACCTTCTTAACTGAGATTTTTTAATCATCGCTGTCAGATGGTAAAATGATCTATCTTCGAGTTAGACCAGTTTACCTAAGTTAGCCCATTGTCGCTAATATCTAATAGTATGGCAATAGTGTTTATGGTCTAACTAGAAGATAGACCATTTTACCATAGTATGGCAATAGTGTTTATGGATAGACCATTTTACCATTTTATGATGTGAAGTGGGAGTGTATTCATGTGCTACGGTTAAACAGTCTATCTGCACAAAAATCTCATTTATTTTATAATTAAAACCCCAAATACGCACAAAATTCTTCAGTTATCACTGTTTAATATGCTTCTTCTTGTCCCATTGCTAAAAATGGATTATACCCATTTCCTAAAAAAAGCTCAAACCTCTAAACTTCAAAGTCATTTTTCTCAGAACAGCGATTTCCAGATAGACTGTTTTACCATCTGACGGCCGTAGTGTAGAGGTGTTGTGGTCTAGTGGATAAGTTGTTGGACTTTGGAATACAGGGTCCGCGGTTCGAGTCCCGCCCGACTCTTATGTCCTTTGGCAAGATATTAATCTGCATTTGCCACGCTCCACCCAGGTGTTAAATGGGTACCGGTGGGAAGGAACTCCTTGAATGCTGTGAGTGCCAAAATTGGTATCGGCTGCCTAGCAGAGCCGGGGTGATAGTGGGAGCGCCTTGAGCACCATGCATAGTAGATATGTACGCTTTATAAATATCCAATATCATTATTGTACATAGTATGTAGTAAGAGGGAATGACAGGCACTGGGAGCTCCATAAACTGTTTTTTGAGCCCATGTCACAACTAGATGTCTTTCTACATGCTATATAGTAACAAAAGCGCTAACGTCATATTCCCTCGTCGTCCAGGTTACTGGTGCTAAACAACAGAGCTGCGCATTAAGCTCACTGCAAGGTCATTCAAGAAACAAGCTAGAGCAGGGCAAATTCAGAGCTTGGGACTGCATGGTGTGATCACCACACCAGTGTTAAGCACAACGTTGTTTGGAACCAGCAACCTCAAAGGTATAGCTAGACCAGTTCTGGTCATGCGATTGCGTTGTGAAAGAAACATTGCGTAATCGATCAGAAAAATTTGATCATCTAGCATATAAGTATTAGTGTGTACTGCAAGGTTCTGGAATCATCAAAATGATCAGAAATTTTGCCCAGTCTTGGTAAAGTTACAAGCATTGTACACAGAAAGATGTATAAGAGACTACGCGATATCTATCCAGGGCGGGTCGATATGATAATTTACCAAATATATCAATCAGTAGGCGGTTTCCCAGCAAAATTTGTATCATCACATACTTTCGTCAAAACATATTCTTTCACATAATAATAATAATAATAATAATAATAATAGCCTAATAGTCCACTCCAAATTTTATTAAACCGAGACAGAAATTCTTTTTGCCCAATTGATCAAGAGCCCGGCAGCCACTGAGCAGCGCCAGATCGACGTTGCTCTATCCCTTATTGTTTAACGCCAAACAAGGCAGCAACAACTCCCATCTTTTAACGTCTTTTGGTATGACGCAGCCGGTGTTCGAACCCACGACCTCCCGGTTGTGAGGCGGATGCTCTACTGACTGAGCCAACACTCCGGTATGATTGAAAATAAGAGCTTCCATTTCATTTTTTAGGGGGGGGGGGCGTTTCCAAAATGGTCTATACCTTTAACAACTTTGTCACAATGACTTCATGCTTTGATACTCCACAGATTTACCTGTTAATGAGGAGACCTTGCAGAGGTCTTCTGTTTCGTCTGCTTGGGACACCCTACAATCAGGTACAAAGTCACAGAGCTGCGTGCTATCTATACAGGTTCCCTCGGCTTCGCAGGTGAACTCATCGCTTGCACAAGTAGCTGTGTTGGGTAGAAAGAGATTGTTACTGAAACATGACATGGTAAAGAAGGTTCTGAGCTAGGTGTCATCCAAAACTGCTGGTTACAGTAATGATGATAATAATTATGGTAACAATAATAATAAAAATAATTGTAATATAACAACAATAATAATACTACTGACATTAATAGTAACAATAATAATAATAATACTAATAGTAATAATAATAATAACAATGATAATAATAAGATCACAATAGTTGCAATAGTGATAATAAGAAAGTTGGTGGTGATGATGAGGATAACAGAAATAAATGTAATATTCTTGATTTACATTATGCCTAGTACATCTATAATATCTCTTACAAGTGCTTTAATGAAAATATTATTTTACAGTTTCCTTCTCGAGTTCTGCCTAGAATGGTGATTTCTTTTGAAGAATGAAGGAGCTTGACGTTTTGGGCAGTGTACTCTGAATTCATGAGGACTGAGAATAGTTCCCCCAAACAATAAATACCTATTAGGAACTTATCTGACAGTTGTAAAAAGGATAAAGATTATACGAAATGCAAGCTGTGCAGATGCACAATAAAAACTCAATAACCAAGACAACCCCACACAGTGCTAAATCAAATCTTAAATTATGAGTAATTCATAACTGTTTTGTGCGATACATTACTGACAATGTCTAACATTTAATTAAATCTGGTCATTGTAATTAGTTAAAAGCCCTTCTAAAGCTCATACCAGGAACCCATTTTACAAAGCCTTTTTTCAGTGACAAATGACAAAAATCTTTGACAAATCTGCTGATAACTACTCAGAAGCCAGGATTATGCTAATAACAAAAACTGTTATTTATCACCGATGACAAGTTTTGTGACATTAGGCCCAGATCAAATATGAAGCGACATGTCTCAATTGATATCAATCTTCATTCAGAACTCCACAATATCGGTACTTGGTTATGTCAGGGACACCAAATTTTGTGATAAAAGCCATGCAAAAAAGGTGCGACAAAAAGGTACAATGCATTTCAATGCATGTTTACGAGAAGTCGCACCATGCACTGCATAGTCTGTTCACGAGGCCACTGCTGCCGCGATCGTCTGTGTGCACACGTTATTTCTTATGAAGGTTGCATGTTTACAGTGATATCGCCTTGCTAAGTAAGGTTGTCGACCCATTTTATAAAACAAGTAATAGAACTTACCTTGCGCTGTTGTGGTATCTGTGGCATCTGTGGTACTTGGTGGTGCAGGTGTTGTACCTGCTGTTGGTGCTGCTGTGCTAACTGTAATGGCAATACAACAAAACATGTCAATTTGTATATGATTTATACTTGACACGTGTCATGGAAAAGTACAAAAATGCAGATTTTCTTTCGTTTTTTAAGGTACACCGCAAAAAAAAACTATAACATACTAATTATAATTACAAAAGACAGCATGATCAGCTAATAGCAAGAGATCACAGAAAAAAAGTTCCTGTAAAAATACTCGGAATGGGGGACCTTCACGGTTTTGGTAATTTAGTTTGCCTGCCCCATTCCTGGCAACTTGTAAATGCTCATGGGAATCACAATGATTTTCATCCTTTGTTTTGTATGATTTGTTCTTCTATGTAATCCTCTGTATACACTTTGTTTTGCCGAATAAATAATAATAAAAATAATAACTCCTCATTAACTGATCACCTACATTTTATTCAATAACTTTAAACATTGACGGAGAAGTGTCTTTGTCTCCAACATTGGAGCAGAGAGAAAGAGAAAAGGAGAGAGAGAGAGAGAGAGAGAGAGTAAGGGAGGGATGGGAATAACAATAAGTTATTAAAAATACTATGATTATAACAATTATCATTTAGTATGCTTATCACAGTTAGAGTTTTAAAGAATTTGTTACATTAGTCTGTGGAATTCGCTAATTTGATGAAAGATGGGATATTGTTCTACTCAATGAATGTAGTGACAGTAAGAGGAGAGACAAATTTGCAATGGTGTTTTTTCAGGGAAGGGGGTGGTACGCTCACCTGTTGTTGTTGTTGTTACTTCTTGAACTGCCACTGTAGGATAAACAGAGAGAGAGGGGAAAAAAAACATTTATCTCATTATAAAGGAAAAATTAGTTTTTAATCAGTTCTAAAGAATCAATTCCTTCAAATTTGAATTAGCAATAACGATTCTTCCAACTTTCTTGCAAAATTTCTACGTAGTCAGCTGTCTCAGAACCTGCTGCTTCAACATAAAGTACCCTGTATAGGCACTACAATCATGGTATACAGATGAACTGGGGATAAATGTTCTGCACCGTACACCATGAACAAACTATAACTTGTATGGTTTTTTATCAATAGAAGGTAATTGAGCTTCATACTAAAAGAGTATTGGACAGGGTCAGCCAAGATGATAAATTCAAGACATTACGCCACATTTGCCACTCTCCAACCAGGTGAAATAAATGGATACCTGGTAGGATGCGAAAATCATTGTACTTTGCTCAGCACTGCAAATTTCTGGAATGGCTGGAATGCTTCCCAGGGAGTGGAGAATGTGTATATACTGTGTGCCCCGTTTCACAAAAACTTGTCATCAGTGACAAATGATAGTTTGTTATCAGCTTCTGAAATCCTTGCTTCTGATTGGTTATTAGCAGATTTGTCACTGGTTTTTGTCATTTGTCATTGAAAAAGGGGCTTTGTGAAACACCCCCCAGGTGATCTGTGAAGCACTTACCATTGGAAACCACAACATCCACATTGTTATTAGAGATTATTGTGGGCCCTGTATCACAAAAATTGTCATCAGTGACAAATGACAGCCTTTGTTATTAGCTACTGAAATCCTTGCTTCTGATTGGTTATCAGCAGATATGTCACTGATTTTTGTCATTTGTCATAGAAAGGGGGCTTTGTGAAACACCCCCCCGTTGATCTGTGAAGCACTTACCGTTGGAAACCACGACATCCACATTGTTATCAGAGAGACCCTCTGAGGTCAGTGTGACTAGTTCCTCGGCAATCGCGTCACCAAGAGCAATTGATCCATCTTCAGCCAGTATAACATTGAGTCTTACTGGTACAGAGTCTATGGTTATCAAGATTGTAACCACCACACTCCCGGGACTAAAAAATAAACATTACATTAAACAAATAATAGATTAAACACTTGTAGGTTAGATTCTGGTTCAGGGTTTTGAGCTAGCTCCTGTCATCCTTTTGTTATATCAGTTTGGAAAGGTACCATACAAGGCCCTTTCAAAAATATATTTATTCAAATGCACTTTTATTTTTAATATGCGTGGAGAAAAAGCTGACAAGTTTGAACTACCATGCTACATGTACATGTATGTTAAGTACCATATATACACATTCTTGGTGTGCATTGCGTGAGATTATCAGCTAAATTGGAGATGGTCAATTACAAAACTAACAATAAACACCATATCCTATGTCCTACATACATGTTAAACCAACATTTTCCCATTGCCTTCAGACAGTTTATCTTTCACGGTGTTGTCGCATGACCAGAATTCAACTTTTATCATTAAAGACAAATAATTGTGGATTCCTGTGGGTACTTGTAGATGATATGGCTCTTTTTTCAATTATATTCATGAGTGGACAATTGTAAAGACGTTTTGATAAGAACCTCCTGGAAGGGAAAGTCATCACATATTTCAATTTCAAAAGATGTAGAGTAGTGGCTCCGGTCTGCGGCCGATCGGCGGGAACTGCCGATTCTATTTTTATTGGAATACTCACAGAATACTTCAATACCCTCAATAAAGAGTCCATATACTTACTTATTAAATAGAAGTCACAAATAACCAAACTGACCCACAGCGTGGTCAGCATTGACCATGTTTCGAAATGCTTCGAGTTCCCCGGTTTGCGGGCACGCAGTACCGGTTTGCGGCACGCGTACGTCACAAAGCTTTATGCGCTACGTCACGATGAAAGCATGTACCAAATTACTACGGGTAACCCAAATTCTCATGTTTATCTGTTGCTACGGTAAATTTGTGAAGTTTTAAACAATTTCACCTTTTCCTCGAATGGATCATCCCATACGGGGGTACGTACTACTAGAAACTATCGGGTCATAGGGGGTACACACATCAGCACACATACCATCATACACGATCCCGCATGTTATGTGTGTATTAACACCCCCTGCCGCAAACCAGAAAAACACGTAATTACGTGCCGGTTTGCGGTCACCCCATGCAACTAGCCATGCGGTGGCACAATCAAAATATCTGCGATAGGAGACAGACCACAGCCATCATACTTCCACAAAAACATCAAATTTCACCTCCAATCGGACAAATATCGGACAAATAGAGCTACAATATTGATCTAGTCATGCCTCGATCTCTTAACATAAAAGTTAGCACCTGCTGGAATTTTCATCGGCGACTGGTGCCGTAGATTTCCGACATCGCTGACGGATACTCCGTACCGATAGGAGCACCTGCTACGGACATTTTCGGCAAAGCAGAACTTACCGTGGAATCCACGGTAGGTTTCAATGATTATTATCGAGTCATATTCATTTTATTTTTGAAACAAATACCCCTGGCCGCAAACCGGGCGATGCCGCAAACCGGAGACTCTACTCTAGATCAAGTGAAATAGAAAAAGGTAAACAAATAATTTCTTGATCAGATAACATTCTAAATAAAGACAATGAAACGTTTGTTTGTGCTGTTGTTTGAATTATTTCAACGTAGTCTATTCACCTGAACCCCAGGACTACCCTAGTTGAGTTTGAGAAGTCCCCTGACTGCAGTACTCCAGCCAGCTGCATTAAGGAACAAGAACAATTATTTCCTTTTAAACTGATAAAAGGCACATCTAGTCATCTATACTCTTCATAAACCCAATATCAAACAAATGATCTGATTGGCCATTTGCTTTGTTTTGGTACGTTGACCCGGTTATATATCGGCCAGGTTATGCAATCCTTTTCCAATACAAATCTTGGGGATCTTGAACAAGTTATGACAAACATGCTTTTCAATACGTGGGACACTGCCAATTATACCCGATTCTTTTCCCACAAGATACTGTTACTTAGCTTAGAAGGTACTATTAGCAACACCGGTCTACCGGTACATCTACTTACATGAATCTATTTGAAGACATCATTCATAGAAACAGTGCCATATATATCAATTCGAATCAGCGTTAAACAAAAAAGACTCTCCGCGACTCAGGGGGCTGGCTTCTTTTTCTATTCTCCGTGCATGCATCGATCAATCTAGATCATATCTAGACTCTATGCTCCATTTAGGCTTTAGCCAATCGGAGCGGTGGTAAGAAAACTAAACCGGTCCTTAATGTGTGACAACTGTTCTGATTGATCAAAAGTTTTCTTAAGTCTACCAATAATTTTGAAGGGGGGGGGGGGGGGCTACATCTGTAAATGACCCCCCTCCCCCCTTATTTTCTTATTCGTGTTCTTTTGCCTAAAGAGATAGATTTATAGCATGCTGATTTATTTTTAAAAGATAAAAACCTATTGTTAAATGCAACATGTTAAAAGTGCTACATGGAATAGACCTAGCTACAAGCTTTGCGAAATTATTGGACCCTATTGCGATGTCATATTTCCTTGACTATTCTAGTCAAGATTGTGATTGCAATAGTAGTGTGTATTACAAATCTTTAAACAAAAATTACAGAGTAACTTTCTTTTGTATCACTTCTCAATTTATCGATTGTATGTACACCTATAATTTATGTTTTTACCATTTGGTTCTAACTAGTTGGTTAAATTTTATTATGTATTAAGACAAAATAAACATCCAGAAGAAAAGGAGCTAGATGTGAAAATAAATCACTTTTGAAAATTGCAACTTTCACATTTTGAAACATTTTGAAATATTTCAAATCACTTTTCTCAACTGTACTAACGTAGGCCTAGCCTACACATGAGCTGCAACCAGACTAAATCATCCGTTAGTCTCCATTTGTGACATAGGTGCCGAGACAGGAGTAACCCGATCCAAGCGACACACATATTTATTTTATTTAGGGAGTGTTTATTTAGTAAGGGCCTTGAAATGTTAGGTAGTCCAACAAGAAACCAATTTACTTCCAATGTGCATTCATGAAACGCATACCTTCATTAAAATGTGACAGAATAAAGTGACATCCTGTGACTGCGGTCGCCCATTAGTAAACACAAACTTCGCTTGACTTACCAGCATCAAGACTTCAGCCTCTAGCTCCTTATATTCAGTAGAGTTGGAGTCGTATAAAGCGTCGGTGAAATTCTTGTCATTAAACGTCAAGTTCAACTCCACTGCGACGTTATCTATTGGAAAAATCCACAAAAGAAACTGATATATTTAAGTCAACAAAACCTTGTAAACTCGCATTTGTCTGTGTTTAGTTTTGATGAATTAGTAGTGGGGAAGAGGCTTCTTTCCAGTTTTGTTGAATATTTTAAGTATGTTACTTTGTTATTGTACGCATGCTTCTATTGTAAATCTTTCTTAATTCAACCAATGGCTGCGATGAAATGATATTAAAACGTTCAATCAAGCAATCAATATAGGACTATGCTACGGAGACCCAATTCAAAAAATGTATGGGATGAAAAGAAAGGGGAACAAACATAAAATAATTCCCTCTATTTGTTTTCGTTTTTTCTTATGCCAGTAAAATCGCTGAAAAACTGGGTGAAGTGCCATATCCTATTACCGTTTAGAATGAACAAATAAGCAGAGTCCCCAAAGTGTCCCCCCCCCCCTTTTTTTTTTGTACCTCTCAAAGAAATCTAAAAGCACACCAACAAGCCCCCTCTACGTTTCGAGACATTTTAGGAGAGGTTCATCCCCGTGACATTTCACAGAGATTGGTTCAATCTACCATTACTATTAATAATTTCACCTTTTTAAAAAAAAATCAAATTAAGTCATTTTATCAATTATGTTATCATGTTTATGATGTAGTTGGAAAGGGACACAAATAATGATTTCATGATATGTTACTTATTCTTTTCTAACTCCTTAGTTTGTTCTTATTGCTTCATCGATATAGTTAAATCGTGCAAAAATTGATAAAATGCAAGAAAGGAAATTTAAAGATGAATGTATTCGTTGTGGAAATAAAAATGAAATTTAATGAAAGGAAATTTTTCAAAGTTCAAACTTACCAATCTGGATCGGAAGAGGGCGTTCAGTTACTTCAGTACCTGCTACGGAATATGAACACGTGAAGCTTCACAGTCAAAACAATGATCAGTAATGTAAATTGCGCGTCAAAAAGAACACACTTTCTACTTTTAATCTTCTCCCTTTTTTTTTTTTTTTTTTTTCTTCTTCTTCTTCTTCTTCGTCGTCTTTTTTTCCTTCTTCTTCTTCGTCTTTTTTTCCTTCTTCCTCCTCTTTTTCTCCGTCTTTTTCTTCTACTTCTTCTCCTTCTTCTTCTTCTTCTTCTTCTTCTTCCTCTTCTTCTTCTTCTTCGTCTTTTTCTTCTTCTTCTTCATTTTCTTCTTCTTCTTCTTCTTCTTCTTCTTCTTCTTCTTCTTCTTATTCTTCTGTTTGCTGTTTTTTTTTTTTTTTAATGTTTCCTCTCTTTTACTTTCCCTCTTCTTTACCCCTTCTTCTTCCACTTCCTCCTGGGCCATATCGACGGTGGGGGAGTCACAGGAATCAAGATTATTTGCTGGTAAAAGATTTGTTGTTTTACCTCAACACCCAAATATATAAATTATTATAAATGTGATCGTAATCAGTTTTTTTCTACCTTTGTCAACGATAAAAACACATGTTTACGATACCTGAAGTCGTTGTGCTTTGAAGTGTAGCGGCCGTCAATCCCACTGAGTAAACTGTAAATATTGACCACACGAGGTGATTAAAAAAATGGACTTTGTGAAATCAGGTTATGTTAAGGCCCAAACAGATCTAGGCAGTAAGTATTGAGCGAAGAAGGGGGGGGGGCAGCGAATTTAATTTTCAAATGTTTATTAATGCCAGGTTGTGTACAATGGTGGTAAAGCGTTGTTGTTCCTCCATAATTTTCAACGCATTTAAACATTTTGGTAGTAAACTATTGCACATGAAATGACTGAATTTCAGATCGATTAAAAAAGTTATGATTTTGTTTGGTGGGTTAATTATTCATGTTTATGTAAATGGGATCACCAACTTATACGAAATTGTTTAATTTTTCCAACAAAAAGATAAAAGTTAACAACCCCCCCCCCAAAAAAAAAAGTGAACAAAACTAACAAACTGTTCCCTGACATTTTTCCCTCGACACCCCCCCCCCCCTCTTCTTACAGCATACATATGGACAAAACATGCTTCGTATATTATGAAATTTATAATTTTATGAAATTATCTACCATTTAGATGAAAGCTGTATATTCTTCAAAAGCTACATATCGAATGTATTCAACTGATTTACTCAGCGGCGTAGCCATGATTTTTTGGCAAGAAGAAGCACGATGTAATAACAAATTGCTGATATGCCCCTAGCAAACTAAAACAACTAATGAAAATAAACTTAAGAACAACTTTTCAAAAAGAAAGAACAAAGATGGAAAAGGAGTAGTTTCATGAATCAGGGGAACAAGGCATATTAATATGATTATTATTTATATTATTATCAATATGTAATCAGTAGTAGTATCATTATAACCAACATTACTATTATTGTTATATTGTTTAATGAAGATGTGCACCTGGATTTCAGAGGGACATGGACCGGTTGTGCCGCCCCCCCCCCCAACCCCCTCCCCAAACAAATATCTGAGAGTTGTTTTGCTTACCGATGTAGAATGCAACAAGACCGATAATCACTCCTATCAGGACGAGGATGAAGAGAAAGATGCAGATTTTGAGCTCTTTTTGTTGCCTGAGCTTCTCTTCTTCACTGTCTGGTCCCGCAGATGGTCCTGCAGGTGTTCTCTTGATGCTCTCGTATCTAGCAAAATTATCGTCAAATGTTCAGATTTAAAACATATTCATTTCCTTCATAATTATGAAGATTTTCATTCCAAAAAGGACTTTTCCACATTCAATGTTTTCGAATGAATATTCGTAACACATGTTTAAATAAGATACAGTTATTGAAATTTGCACTGATCATCTAAACTGGTAATGACTCCATATTGTAAACGTTACATACATACAATTATTTGTATTTATTTAGCGCCTTTACATGAACATGCTCAAGGCGCTTTACATTTTAAAATACAAACATAATAGTTTAAATGAATAAATTCATCATTACCATATTGTTTTTTTTTAATGGAACGAGTTTAGATTGAATCTCCTGTGCAATGAAACGTGATTAATTACCTTTTGAAACATAATTTTAAATGCAAAGAGTACATATGATTACAATATGTAAGATTGGTATTTAAACAAATCTGTAAAAAGTGTAGATAGCGCCCTTTGATTTTTAAGCTCTTCATAATTTAGTTATCAAATGAAATGTAGAAATATACATAGATTAATCAGGTGGGATACACTCACGAGCCCAAGGCTTGTGCTGCTAGCTATAGCGCCCTAATTATATATAAATACAGTGCGTCCCAGAAAGAAAAAATAACACACGAAAACAAACTGTGAGCTCTATGAACATGACATTTTTTAATTTTTTTATAATAGAAGTAATCCATCCATATGCGCTCCACTGAGCAACCTTGATTTGAAAATGGCATGTTAAAGTCCACTTGTGCCAGATTTGGGTGAAATAGTGAACAAAGTTATTATGGTTTAGCATCACGGCGTGAACATGATCGAACATGACTTGAAAAAGCAGAAACTTTTCAAACCAAACGAGCAGATACTTTTCACGTATCGTATAGATATGTTGTCGATGGTGAGGGTAAAACGAGCATATTTTGTATATACTTAAATGGATGTGCATTCATTACGAACAATAATGTGTGCATGTTTCAAAATCGCAAATTTATAAAAAAAAAAAAAAAGAGAAAAGAGACAGTCATGTGATATTGTCACCAAAAAAATGTAAGGGCAACTCATATTTGTAAAATGTGGAAAGGTAGGGTCCTATTGGGCACATGAGGTGGAAAATATCCCATTAGAATATGCAATTTTCCTTTTAAGATCGGAAGCACTTTTAATCAATAACTGTTGCATACGATGTGGGGTATTATGACGTCAGAAGCGAAGTTTTGGTTATTTTGGGTTTAGCCATAGAGGGCAGTTGCGAATTTGTTAGGGAAACTAAAACACGTTGTTGCAGTTAGTTATCGGCACTGAAAGTGCACCATTTTTTGGTATTTTGACACAAGCCCAATGTTGTGAGTATTTATTTACCTCTGTTTATTGAAATATGATGACTATTGTTGTGTTTGATGCTATTGGTGATAAAAATGAAGAAATGCAAATAGTGTAAAATTAAGTAAGAAAATTGTTACTCACGTACGTAAATTTACGTTGTGTGTGGGCATGCAGTTGTGTATAAAGTCATTGGGTTAGAATTAATTTCGGTAAACGTAAAGAAGACAGATATGAATATGACAGAAAAGTTGTATTATTATTAGTTTCAGTGGATTATGTTAGAAATGTATGTACAGTATAAGCTGTCCAATATTCAGTTGGTTTTTTTGGATTAGTATGAAAGACAAAATGTTCTATAAAGAGTAGTTGACAGAAAGTAGGTCAGGTATGCCAGGGGTCATTATAGATTGGTAGTCTTTCGTGCAGCCTGTTATTAAGATTTAGGTTACCACTAAATGATATGTTGGGCCTATTATGCTTTGGTAATTAATAGTGAGTCAATAGGTTGTATCAAAGGAGCTATGAACTCATCTTAGCAGAAATATGTAAAGATATTTCCTAACTCATATTATGCCATTTATTTACAGTTATTTACAAACCTGTTTATTATTTGACTGGATAAGATAAACAAATGTTGGATAGATTATTTGATTGTCATATCAGCTATGCTAAGTAGCATATTGGATGCATTATTCTAGTAATGCTTATGATTGTGTTTTTTATCTTTTATTAAAGGTTGAACCTTGCACCTGCCAGTTTGGAGTCTTGGTATCACAAAAGGGTGTCGCTGTGCTATTCATTCGTCAATGGTGTCTTTTGGTTAAGTGAATTAATCGTCAATCGTCAATCACATCAGTTCAACAACAGCTTGGTAGTGAGAGCTACAAGTCAAGAACGTCAAGATGAATACCATCAGTGAAGATGGTAATAATGAGACTGTGAAGTCCAGTGACGAGCTGGTTGGCCTTGGTGGTGCTGTTAACGTTGATGACATCACACCGCATGATTCAGTGAGCCAATGTGGGGGAAGCACTACTATCTCCACGTCATCCAAGTCCTCAAGGCTAAAGGCTATGGCGAGAAGGGCTGCTCTTGAGGCAGAAGCTGAAGCCTTAAGAGAGCAACAGGAGCTCGAGATGGAAGAATTCCGCTTGAAGCAACGCAAAGCCCAGCTGTTGCTGAAAACCCAGTTAAAGGTTGCTCAAGCTGAAGAGAGGGTGTATCAGCAAGATAATGCTCCATATGCACAGTCTGTTGCAGGAACAGGTGGACCTACTCCCGCAAGGTCATCCGTTGTGCCTTCAATCACGAATAACTACAAACCTGTTATGATGAAGCCAGATGAGGACGAAACTGTACCTTCTCCTCACACACAGACGGAAATGCTGCGGCTGCAATTACTGGAGCAAGGACAACGACAACAGCGGGGGCTGTTAGAGTCTGTATCCCTTCCTCATGCCACTCTGTCTACCTATCAAGGTGATCCGCTGAAGTACCATGAGTTTTGGAGGTCCTTTGAGAACAGTGTTGACCAAACTTCAGTAGACGACGCTGTCAAGCTGACACGCCTCCTGCACTATTGTGCTGGCGACGTTAAGAAGTTGCTTCAACCATGTATGATTATGAAGCCTACAGAGGGCTATCACAAGGCAAGGATTCTACTCAAAGAAAAGTATGGAAATCCAGTAATGATTGCTCATGCCTGGCTTAGAAAGGTTACTGAAGGAAAGAACATTGCTGCACAAGACAAACATGGACTAGCTGAAATGGCGGATGAAATCCAGATTTGTGTGCAGACGCTAGAAGCAGTAGGTCAGGCATCTGAGCTGACTTCTCAACATGTTCTGCTGAAGATAGTAGAGAGGCTACCATACCATCTGAGGACAGGATGGTTAAAAGTTGTAGGAAGAGCTAGAAAAGAGGGTCGACTTCCAGCTATTACGGATTTGGTTGCATTCTTGCAACAGATTGCAGATGAAGAGAATGACCCTGTCTTCGGTAGGCTGACAATTAGAGATCAAGGCAGTAAGATGTCAGCATTTAAGAAGTCTGGGAAGACATCGAGAGGGGTCTTTACTACTAGTACAGATGCTGAAGGCAGCAAGACACGGAGCTGCATTCAGTGCGGTGGAGAGCATTCCTTATTCGGCTGCAGTGAGTTTAAGCAACTCAAGATTGAGGACAGGCTTAAACTGGCCCAGAAGGAAAGATTGTGCTACAATTGTTTGAAGAAAGGTCACGTGACCAGGGACTGCAAGTTAAATAGGACATGCTCAGTAAGTGGGTGTAACAGGAAACACACCAAGTTTCTACACCTTATCAGACAGCCTTCACAGACTGATAGCACAGAGTCTCGGAGGGATATCGGAGAGTCATCAAGTGATGCCAGGAATTCACCAACGTCATCTGAAACGGAGGCAACTACTCATCACTCGTCATCCTCTCATGTTGCTGAAGAAAGTTGTAGTGTCATAGGGGCCGGTAGTAAAGTAGTGCTACCTATTGTTCCCGTTCGAGTACGAGCTAGAGGGAAAGAGGAGTATTTTGACACTTATGCCTTGTTAGACACATGTTCAACATCAACATTCTGCACTTTGGAGTTGACGCGTAAGATCGGGGCTGAAGGCACAGAGCAGAGCCTTTCCATGTCGACTCTAGACAAGTCAAGGATTGTCACAACATGTAAAGCAGTCAACCTGGAAGTTGAAAGTCTGTCAACTCAATATAGAGTCAGTCTCCATCATGTATTAGCCAAAGAGAAGATAAATGTTAGCAGTGCACTTGCTGCTGATAGAAGTGACATTCGCCAATTTGCCCACCTTGCAGATCTGAATCTACCGGCTGCTAGACCTCAAGACGTCATGCTACTAATTGGACAAGATGTGCCAGAAGTATTGGTACCAAAGGACGTTAAGTATGGCGAACCCGGGCAACCTTATGCTGTGAGGACGGCATTAGGATGGACCGTGAATGGACCAGTTGGGAACCGGCACAGAGACCATGACATATCGTCAAGCTTTATTTCCAGTGATGCTAATTTGGAGCTTCAAGTGGAAAGGTTCTGGTCACTTGAATCAGGGTCGCTAGCAGAACAATCTAAGTGTATGTCTGTCAATGACAAGAGAGCTCTGAGAATTTGGGAGGATAGTATCCAGAAGAAGGGTGATCACTACCAGTTGTCTATACCCTTCAAAGAGAGACCCCAAGAACTGGCTGACAACATATATGTAGCAGAAAAAAGGCTAGAGAGTCTTGGTAGGAGATTGAGGCGAGATGAGGATCTACACAGACGATATACCAAGGCTATGTCAGGATTGGTGGAGGATGGATATGCAGAGAGAGTAGAAGAAAGGAATGCAGGTTCAGGCAAACCTGTTTGGTATCTTCCTCACCATCCTGTTGAGAACCCTAACAAGCCAGGCAAGACAAGAATTGTGTTTGACTGTGCATCTACATACCAGGAACGATCGCTCAATGATGCAGTTTTGCAAGGCCCTGACTTAACAAACACACTTCTGGGTGTTCTCTTGAGGTTTCGACAGGAGCCGATTGCCATTATGGGGGACATCCAAGCGATGTTCCATCAAGTACAAGTCCCGCCTGATGAAAGAGATATGCTGCGGTTTCTCTGGTGGCCAGAAGGAGATATTGAGAGACAGCCAATGGTCTACA